GCTGACGCCTTCTGGTGGTTGTTCCGTGAACTAAAATTATAGTAAATTTCTTTAAAACGGTTATCCATTTCGTTGAACTTAAATAGGTAGGGTAGTTCTTTAATTATCGACCATTTAAGGCTTAGCACTTTGGAGTTTTATTAAATTTTTAATAAATTCGGTGATGGGACGAATTTGAAAAAAATGCTTGCACTTTTGGAAAATGTACTTATTTGGGCAGCATTTTGTTTTTTAATGAACGCTTAGCATTGATTAATTAAGCTACAATTAAATATTGAGTGCAAGTCTAGCTTTGGTTAATTGCGATCCACTTTTTGCTTCCCTTGTCTAATTATCGACCAGTGGTCCGTATCTAAATACGAACCACTTTTGCTTCCCTTGGCTAATTATCGACCGGGAAGCGAAACTAGATTTACAACAAAAGCGAGTTTGCTTCTGTTATTGTTTTGAAAACAAAAATAATTATTTAAATGCTAAAAGATAAAGGAAACCGTGATTATGTTGGAGAAAAAGAAATGGATTATGTTCGTGTCAAGCTGCTAAATGTCTCAGCACAAGATCAAGAAAGAATTGACTAAATAAAAAGTCTTAATTAATTTTATTAACAAGTTTAAGTTTTATGACAATGAATGAAAAATTAATAAAACAGTTGAAAAAAAAACTAATTTTGTTTGATGATTATCGACGATAAGTTAAGAAACTTCGAGCAATGTTCATAATGCCATCTCCGTTCTCTTTTTCCATTTCCCTTTAAAACGTAGAATAAAATTAGGGTTTGAATTAAAATATGAAAAAAATTTATTTACCTTTCATGAATTAAATCATCTTCCTCCGGATTTAAGTCAACGTCAACAAATCCAGATTCCTGTTCAAACATTTTGTTTCAATTGTTTTTTGATATTTTTAAACTTTTTAAACACTTTAGTTTTTAATTTTTTAATTTCAATTTTATTTTAAATTTTACTTGCAAAATGTAAACAAACTTTTGCTTCTATTTAATATTTCTCGCTTCAAAATTTAGCATGTTTTCAAGTAAAAAACCGCGAGTTTTTCGTTTTGTCGGGCTGTCGCTTAACATTTTTTCCGTGTTTTTTTATGCTTTTGACCGACCAATGATACAAAGCATTTTTTAAGCAAACAAGGCCTAGTTGAGCGAATGTATTAATGCATAACCGTAGAGGAAGGTCCAAAGGTTAATAATTAAAAAAACGTCTCCTTCGGTAAGCCTTAAAAGTATTTTAAATTAAATTAGGGAAAAAGTGGTCGATAATTAAACGCGTTTTCGAGCGGTCGATAATTAACCAGCTACCCTACTTCGTCTACACCTACACCATCTTTCATATTCTCGCGTTTCTGACACAGGTGTTGTTGTTCTCTACATGTGCTTCAAGTTATGATTCTTTTACGATAAAACTTTTAACATTTTCACACTGTCTGCTCGTAACACATTTTTATTTTAGCACGAAATTAGTAGAGTGAAGTTTAAAAGTTACTTACAACTTTCAAGATGGATAATTATTCTGTACATGTTACATGTTGATTTTTAATGATGCGGAGTTCTGCCTCTATGCTGATGATCTCAAAATCTTTAAGGAGATTAATGAGCCACTTGACACACAAATTCTACAATCAAACATCGACAAGCTTATAACTTACGCACAGACGAACAATCTGACACTCAACGCAAAAAAATGCATCGTAACGAGCTTCTCGAGGAAACAATCAAGCTTAATTTGCGCTCAGTATCATATTGAAGGTGAAGAACTGGAAAGAAAAATTTCAACTCGCGACTTAGGAGTCATTTATGATCACAAGTTAAATTTTAATGATCACATTAGCTACATCTCTGGAAAGGCAAGGAAAATGTTAGGGTTTATTATAAGAAATGGAAAATACTTCAAAGATGCAAATACTTTTATCACTCTTTATAATAGCCTTGTAAGAAGCAACATAGAATATGCATCGGTAATATGGAATCCTCATACACAACTTCAAACAAACAAACTAGAAAGTATCCAACATAAATTCCTACGTTTTCTTGCTTTTAAATGTCTTAACAAGAAAGATGATTCACTTAATTATAGTGAAATTGAGAAACGGTTCAAGATGGACAATCTGGAGTTAAGAAGAAAAATTGCTGATGTGAAGTTCACAACAAAATCTTTCAATAACATTATGGACTCACAATCATATCTACATCACTTTAAATTCTCACCACTCAACTCAATAACAAGAAAAAATGACGTTTTTAAAACGACAGGAAGTAAAACGGATGTCGGGAAATTCTCTCTTTTCAACAGACTGATGAACACATTCAACAAATTACAAAACAACGACAATTGGCTAAGAAATCAACCAAATGATAATTCAATCAAATACGTCAGTCGATTATCAACCCAAGAATCATCACAAGCCAATAATTTAGCATAGATTGAGTTTTTTTCTACGTTGCTGGAATGTATGTTGGATGATGGAGTAACATGGAGCTTGCTTCCAATGTGCATTAACCAGCAGCATTTTTCTCAATCAAACATCTCAACATTTATAAAAAATCTTTAAATATAATGACAAACTAAATTTGATAAAATTTTGTGAAAACAAATTGACAAATGATTACAAATATTGTTAAACATTAATCTTTATCATGCAAACAAGTACAAAATCATATATAAAAGCTTTATGTAATCATATAAAAAATTGTTAATGACAATTATTTGCTGCAGCTTAAGGGTAATGCCCGTTAATGCAGCTCAAATGCAATAAATAAATAAAATAAAACATTCGCATTACGTGCCCTAAGGCAGTTATAGTTAATTCCTTTTACTTTCTATCATTACACACACCTTCACGTTTCGGGTCACAGACCTAATAATGGTTAAAAAATAAATTCTTTTGATGATGTCGCTTCGTCAATGATGTGGAACGAAACTTATGCAGTTTTCNCTCCACCCGAGATACGTTAATTTTTTTTCATCTTGAAATTCAATAGAATGATGAAAATAAAATTAGCTTCTAATGTCTCGAATTCTTATTTAAATCTTGTTCATAAAACAAAGCTATAATAATAAGCATAATTTGTCAAATATGAACAATGAAGAGTATTCAGGAATATACAATCCTGTGGAACGCTACTGAAAGTGGAACCTTCATCATTCAGGTGATGAGACAAAGGGAGCGAAACAAGTTGGAATTCATATTCCTGTATTCTTTATCGCTTTAGTGTACAGTCGTGCACTCCCTACTCTGATGATGATGAACAAAGCTATGACACGTACAGCGTCTTCCAATAAATGAAGATTATTAATTAAATAAAATACCTAACAGAATATTTAAAAATAATTAATTGAGCACTGTCTCGTAAAATCCTGAGTGTAAAAATTACCTAAATTAACAGAATATTAATAAAAACAATTTTCAATGAATTTATCTGTTTCCTCATTAATAAACTCGTTCATCTAATTGAATCATCACACCGTTTTTAGATTTAATTACGATTTCCAGACAATCTTCCGGCTGGTAATTTCTGGGTAAGCTGATAAAGTAATGACGCAACATTTTTGATACTGTTGACTTTAATTCAAGCATAGCAAATTTTTGTCCAATACAGTTTCGACTGCCTATGTTGTGAATTATTGATAATTTATTAGTTTATCCGTGTCATTAATCTTTGCATATTACCTGCACTGAAAGGAATATAAGCGTATGGGTTTAGCTTATCAGCCGTTGTCTCGGTATCAAATCTTTCCGGAATAAATTCAAGGGGATTAGTCCAAATTTCAGGATCTCGTGCCATAAAATATGGGCCTATGATCAAATTTGCACCTTTAGGAATAATCTTCTCATCTAAACAAAATTAAATAAATAAAGTTTAATTATCATTATCATGAATAATTTTAAATTATGCTTACTTATTTTCATTTCCTCAACAACTTCTCTTCCAATCAATGGCACTGAAGGGTATAATCGCAATGTTTCTTTGATAACAAGCTCCAAATATTTTAATTCATTTAATTCTCTAAAAAATGATGAATTAATTCCAAGAACTTTTAATTTTATTCTAAATATAATACTTCATTGTTATCGGTTTGTTCCGATCATCTCCAATCACGCGTTTAATTTCATCAAAACATTTTTGCTGCACGTATTTGTATTTGCCAATATTATAGAGTGTAAATGCAATAGCACTATTTGTTGTATCATGGCCCTTTTTAGAAGCAGATAAAGAAAATAATAATATGCAATTAACAATTTTAATACGAGAAAAATTTACGATAATTATTTGTAATGGCAATGAAACTTTAAATAATTATGCAAGTTTTAGATGGTCAGCAGGAAAGAAAATTATCGAACAAAGTTTTTGTTTTGTTAAGATTGCGGATGTTGGGTGCTACACAAATTGCAATTGCCCTGTTAATTTGTTTCGCAATTAGTTTAATTCACTGATTAGTCAGTTTAAATAGTGAACTGATTTTAATTTTTATTACCTCAAACATGAATGTATCGATTTCTTCACGAATATCCTCATTCGTCAAAGGTTTTCCGTCAACTGTCGCTTGAAGTAATAAATCTAGCAAAGCCATTTTCTTCTTTGTTCCGATATCATTAGTATCGTCTGTTTGCTGAGAAACTGGTTTGTTTTTTAATTTTTCTCGGCGTGCAACGATAACCTTGTCTGTGAAGTCATGTAGCAATTTAATTAACTCTTGTTGTCGGCGATACGTTGGTGTGAACTTGAAAAGAATATCGTAACGTGAAATAAAATCGTAAGATCTTCGATGAATAATATCCGCAAGTCTATAAAGATTAGCGATGTTAAATTTTTAACCGAGTGGCTAATTAAGATAATGAATTGTCCTACTCATTAACATTTTTAATGTAAGATGAATTGTTGTCACTCTGAGAGTTGAAAGAAATCCCCATGGCAGTTTCTATCGAGAAATATTTTGAAACTTTTATCCAATAATTTTAATATTGCTTACCTCCAATAATATCAAGTGTGCATAGCGCAGTTATAGGAAATATATTGAATTTTCCACGACCTTGAAGCTTTCTTAAATTCTCAGTAAGAATAGAACTTTGTTTGTCGAAAACTTCAATAAAATCATCAAGAATTTTGAAGTGAAACGCTGGCGTTAAAACTTTTCTTCGTTTCACCCACTTTTGTCCAGTTGAAGTTAAAAGGCCGGTATTAAGCCACGGTTTTAAAAAATCATATTCAGTGGACTTTGAAAGCAACTGCATGCTTGTCAAGACGACCTTTGAAAACAGGAGTTTTATTTCAATTTTCCACAATATTTTCCTCCACTTAAATATTCACCTCGATATCCTTCGGATCAGTCATAAAGAAGACAAGTTGATTACCAAGCCAAATTCTAATGAATTTTCCATACTTTCCTATATAATCTTCGATTATTTTGATAAATTCTGGAAAATTAAGCACACATTTGATTCATTTATCACGATAAATGAGAAATTATTTTTTTCTACACACCAATCGGAGATTTATTGACCAACTCTAATCCATTTCCAATTATTGGTAGTCCAGGTGGTCCATTAAATTGACCAGTTAGTTGTAACTGACGATAATGTTTTTTCAAGAAATAAAAGCAAGTAAAAAATATCAAAAATATGAAATAAATTCCAAACATTTTGAGTAATTTGTGAAATTTATTGTAAGTTTTCTTCCGATCTACACTTCACAACAGTTAAACTTAGAACGATGAAATTTTCGATGTGCATTTGTATTATAAATATTTGTTAAACGTAGATTTAAATTTATAATTCATCATTAGAGAGTAATTTTCTAAACACTCAATCGCACATTGATTGATTATATGAAACGCAATTATCAGTGCAATTGAAAATAGGTATTTAGATATGTGTTTGTAAAGAAAATATGAAATAATAAAATTATTCTAATTTTCAAATATTCTTACTTTTTTGATAAACACTTAGGAGCCTCGAGCATCTTCTTTTCGAAGGTTTCATAATTTAAACAGAAGCACTAATGTTAGATTGTGTGAATAATTAAAGATAAAAGAAATGATACAATTCGTTTTGATCTTTAACTGAATCTTATCAGTAGTTATTATATTAAACAAGAAATATTTTCATTTAGATATTATGTAAATCGTTATTTCATAATTTTTTTATTTTCTCTTCAATCGAAACAGAAAATTAAAACAGCAACGAGTAACAAGTAGTGCCATCTATGAGATGGTAGTGAAACTTCATTTCTCTATTCATTCGTCGCCGCCGGGCGGCTGACCCACTTTTCATACAAAACACATCTCGTTTTAGTCAATCGTGTAATTGCTGTTTGTTTAGTCCAATCGTATGAGATCAATAATTATTAATTATTTTTGAATAATTTTTATGAAATCTTTAAACTTTTATTGTTAAAATATCCCAAACGTTTTAAACGAGATCAGATATTCTCATTCTAAGAATAAGCAAATGGAAATTACTGAGTCATAAGAAGAAGTTTTATTTGAAGAAAATTTATTGAATAATTTTAATTCTTCCAGACGTCTCCTTCTTTAAAGACTAAAGTTTAGATAACGTCTACTAAACTTCTATAAAAAAACTTCATTACTTATTAGTAAAAATTGAATGTAGTTTTAATATTTTTATTTCTAACCGACTAATCTTTGCAAATCCCCATGATTAAAGATTAAAAACTCCCGCGAAAAAAAGTCGATCTATGAAAGGAGCATTTTAATGTGAAGAGAAGAACAAAAGAGTGTTAAATTTTTATTCTTCAAACGTGTAATAATATTGTGATTTTAATTTCGACATGTTTGGTTGCATCATTTGTACCGAAACTTTTTTATCGTCTGAGTCTTCCGGAAAGCATGCAGTCGCTTTAAATTGTGGCCATATTTTTCATTGTTCATGCTTAAAGTAAGTTCCTTATCTGTAAATATAATATTAGATGCTATAAGTTATTTACATGATTGATCTTACCAATAAAAATTCCAGAACTTGGTTGGAGAAATCTAAAACCTGTCCAATATGTCGTTTCTCTGTCACTGTCCAAGATCAGTTTCTTCGTTTGCATCTACAAAGTGTAAGCCAATCAAACAGTGCATTTTTGAACGACACTGTTGGTTCTCAACCAGATGAATTAAAAGAAAAAGAAGAACTCATAGAGTTACGTAAAACTGTAGCTAATTATAAGAAAATATTCGCCAATGTTCTTAACTGTACTGGTGAAATAAAAAAGAATATTTCTCTTGTCGNATCAATGTTTTCATTTAAATTCTTATATGTTTTAATCAAAGCTTCATCATTCTGAAGCATTGCAACAAGTTCATCGAAGAGCTTACGATTTTTGCAATTATCTCCCATATGGTTTATGATAGTAGCTTGAACCATGGTTTGAAATTCTTCTGGCGACACATACATTATCTTTGACTTTGACCAAAATCCCTCAGTGATTGACATCATCAACATATTAGTTTCATTAAATTCATCTATTGATTCACTCAATTGCATTAGCGCAGATTTAGGAAGCTTTAAAACGGCGTTTGTTGACTTATGTCGAAATTTAGTAAAAATTTCGTATCCTGTAAGAAGAGCTTTTGCACTGTCTGTGACAGGTCGTGCTGCTCCACTAAAAACACTCATAACACGGCTAGCTGTCGCGAACCTCTTTGTTATCTCAACAATCGCTGCACTTTGTGTAATTGAACTCAAAATTTTTGTGCTGGCTAGCCCAATTGTACCAAAAGTGCTGATTTCTGATCCCAATCCAAGCCATACCCAGAATGCTTCACGATTTTTAAAAGGATTAATTGATTCACTGTGACTTGCACGATCACGAAGTCTGAAACCAGCTCTTCCAACTCCATAACTAGCACTTAAAGCCATTCCACCCATCATTAATGTGAGGCACCTCTTTTAACTCAACTTGCAATTGATAAGACGATGATGAATCGTCATCATATGGAACAATGGACTTCAAAAGGATAGATTTTGAACTTTCTTCGTGATGATCATCTTTTACGTGGTTCATGTAAATATTTCTTCTGTCACTTCCATTGGTTGATCTTCTTCAATTGGAGAAGTTTCTATTTGTAAAACATTATTCACCGGTTCAATTTCTTCTTTCGATGAAGAATTCTCACTTGGTAATTCTGATTTTGATTCAGACAATTCTTCGGGTTTATCTTCTTTGTTAATTTCGCTTTGAAGATCTTTGTCAACAACCACATTTTGACTGCCGTCACCTTCCAGCTCATTTCCGTGTTGATTTGAAATATTTTCTTCAATAAACGATGCTTGAGGTTGATCAACGATTTGTTTTAAAGTTTCGTTTTTGACAATTTCGAGAGGTAATTGATAATTGACTTGAATTGCATTTTGTTCCATCATTTGCTTTTCTGCTAAAATATTTCGTTCTATTTTAACCTCTTCTTTCGCCCTGTTAATCTCTTTTAATTTCATTTGATTGATTTCCGCTGTAAGTTCTTATTTAAGAGCAAGAATATTCTTAATTGAATAGTTAAACTTAAATTTCATAATCGCTCTTATTAATCTTTCGATACTTTGTAATCATCATTTCTTCATTCATTATTTATTTCATTACAAATAATTCTGTAATTCATTTTTACGGTTTATTAATTGAATTAATTTTACTGAGATATAGAAAATGAACTTTTGATCACAATTTCTCAAACACATTTCATATTTTAAACCGCTCTCAACAATGATTAACTTTACTTAATTTGTTATTTCGGTTTTATATCGCTCTTTTACTTAGCGTAATCATAAAGGGCTTTTTACTATAGGCAAGGATTTCGCTCTACGAGTGACATTTCTCTTTTTCTTTATTTCGTAAGGATTTCGATCTTCAATCGATATTTCCTTCTATTCATAGGATTTCGATCTTTAATCGACATTTCCTTTAATTCACGGGATTTCGCTCTAAAAGTGACATTTCCCTTTTTTTTTTTTTTCGTAAGGATTTCGATCTTTAATCGACATTTCCTTTTAATTTACGGGATTTCGCTCTAAAAGTGACATTTCCCTCAATTTGCTATACAGGATTTCGATCTATAATCGATATTTCCTTTAGCTTCTGGGATTTCGATCTTTAATCGACATTTCCCTTGATTTTCAATACAGGATTTCGCTCTATAAGCGACATTTCCTTTCTTATGCAAGGATTTCGATCTCTAATCGATATTTCCTTTTTTTCGCCATTCAGCAAAGCGAAAATTCTTTTCGCATTTTCTTACCTAATTGGTATTTATCCAGGCAAAACTTGAAGCTTTAACGATCCCACCGCTGACACCAAATGTGAGATCGTGCTGTAACTAATATAAACACTAATAAAACACTGGATAAATATAAATATTCTCTTTAGTAACACGAGGCTTTATTCTCCTATATATATATACTGAACACACTCTTTGATTACTAAACACACAATCCCACAAAGAGAAGAACAAAAGAGTACGTTAAATTTTTATTCTTCAAACGTGTAATAATATTGTGATTTTAATTTCGACATGTTTGGTTGCATCATTTGTACCGAAACTTTTTTATCGTCTGAGTCTTCCGGAAAGCATGCAGTCGCTTTAAATTGTGGCCATATTTTTCATTGTTCATGCTTAAAGTAAGTTCCTTATCTGTAAATATAATATTAGATGCTATAAGTTATTTACATGATTGATCTTACCAATAAAAATTCCAGAACTTGGTTGGAGAAATCTAAAACCTGTCCAATATGTCGTTTCTCTGTCACTGTCCAAGATCAGTTTCTTCGTTTGCATCTACAAAGTGTAAGCCAATCAAACAGTGCATTTTTGAACGACACTGTTGGTTCTCAACCAGATGAATTAAAAGAAAAAGAAGAACTCATAGAGTTACGTAAAACTGTAGCTAATTATAAGAAAATATTCGCCAATGTTCTTAACTGTACTGGTGAAATAAAAAAGAATATTTCTCTTGTCGAAAATGAGGTTTCCAAGGAAGTCTCAGGCCCTAAAGATGAAATTATCGATCTGTCGGAGACTGCTGATGTTGAGGCAATGCCAGGTGTGGAGGCTCCTGTTTTTCGAGCGCCACAAAATCCAAATTCTCGAATTGTAACTCAAGTGACAATTCCCAGAAATCTCCGTCTTCGTCCATTTACAACAACAGCATCAGCATCATCATTAGTACCCAATAGAGCGGCAAACACACGCCCAGGACCTCGTCTTATCAATCGTACTACAGCATCCCGTGTGACTCCTACAAATTCATCTCGAGTTTCTCTTCCACAATCATCACGAGGTGTTATTAATACATCCAGAGTACATCGTAAGATAATCAGAATTTAATTTACTAAATAATTATTTTCGCTTTCTTAGATGTCGAACGTGGTGCTGCTGCAGCCGCTCCATCTAGAAAAGCTGCAACTAATGCGCATCCAGCTCGCAAAAATTAATCAATTTCATAAATTAACTCGCGTCATTCTTTTTTTTTAAACAAAATACAATTTACATATCTCTGAAGAAAGAAATCAAAAGCAAGTTAGATATTGAAAAGAACTCAACCTTTATTGGAAGTGTTGATTACTGCTTTGTTTTCTTTTGTTTCCTAAATAAATAAAATCACTAGAATTTATACTTTAAACAGTTTCGTCTATCTTCTCACGTCTATGAAATTCAATTTATTTTGTGTCTTTAAGAAAGATTTTAAATCCAAAAAAAGCAATCGCTTGTAACTAAATAGCAAGTTTGATAAATAAAATTAATGATTTTATGTCAAAGTGAGAAACTGTAAAATTTTTCGTCGGTGTCTTGTCATTGAAACCGAGACAGCAACTTATGGTGACAATATTTAAATTCTTTTCTTTAATATGCGTGAGAATTAGATTGTACGCAAGCCACTAATCAATTTGAGTGTTGTAAATTCTGCTTAAACTCGTTTCCTGATGTTTATTTCTTCTGTTCTTACTACGTAGTACGTAAAATAAAAAATGTTTTTAAAACAAATACCTCACTTCATGACATGAGAATAAGATTAATAAAAATGATTACAATTGAACTTTTATTTTTAATCCCCATATTGTTCTTCAAGTCAGCTGAATTAAAAAAATAGGTAATATCCGAAGTTTAAATGTACAATTTGCATGACTCATGAGAAAATAAAACGGAATGCAGCTGGACTGTTCAAGGCTGCTTTTAATAAATTTCATTTTCTCAGTCAAAGGTAAAACTTGATTAATTAACGTGAACCATACGAGTGAGTCTCGCGGTTTACTGCTTTGCGTCACTCTCATAATTGTGCAGAAAACTTGAAACATAGAAATCTCGCGATATCGCTTCATTTCATTTAATTATATCGTAATTTTACCTTCTTTTATTTTAATTAATTAATTTGACCTTAAATATTGTTCGCTTGTCTGGGGAGTTCTTTTCCTGCTGCTTAATTGTTATAGACCAATTTTGTTTTTGCACTTATTCATGTTTGAATTTTCTGCTTGCCTCTCGGTATTTTCTGATTACACAAAACCTGATTTCGATGTAGAAGATTCATTCATGCTTATTTCCTTTTTCATTTTATTTAATTTTTTATTAATATCAATTGGATTTGTTCAATGAAGTTTTGAGATTCTTTTTTACTTCGAGTGAAATTTAAAATGTTAAATTTTTTAAGAAACGAACGAAAAGCGCTTGTTATGAAACTAAACATAAAACATATAAAAAGCGACATGAAATGTGCTTTTTCTGTACATTCAAATGAGGCATTCTCTCCATATTGTCATAAATTAAGATCGCATCGTATAAGTAAAAGAGATTTGCAAATGAGCTCAAGACTTTTTCAAGAGGCTTATTGAAGACTTTCAAATTTTTTCCGCATTGTAATCATTGAAATATCACATTTTGAAGGAGGTTTCGATTTTAATTGAATTTCGAGATATTTTTTATGTTTTCACTTTGATCATAACAAATTGGAATGTCATCATTCAAATGTTGTGAACAATCTTGTAGAATATTTATTGAATCATGCTTTGTTAAATGTGCGAGATTGATTGGCGTGAATAATGTCGTCTCAATTCAATTAATCATGAAATATAAATTGAAAAGAATTCACCAAAAACGAATAAATGGATTTTTATTTTCAATAATTATTGTTTATCGTCTATTTATAATTTATGTCGTAATATAGGGAATTGTTAAACAAGCTGATACAATTTTCATTAGCATAAATTTCTTATTATAAAAAATATAATTTTTGCAATTATTTTCTTACAGTTTTCACTGAAAACTTTTCAAGATTCGAATGGTAAACGAAAGTTGACTCAAAATCAAGGAAAATTGGAAATAAAATAATCTTCAGAAGTTGCATAACTTTTGTAGCTTTAAATGTAAATATCTGAAATAACTCCAGAAATTAAAAAGCAGAATTCACAGGATGCTTCATGGCACAATAAGTTGAAAACGAGTCTACACCTGCCTATGAACAAGTGAACTATAAAAAATTATCCTTTCAGATAAGTTTAAGAATGTTTCTTTTGAATTTTAATGAATTTTTCTTTTTTACAAGGTTTTAATTACAGTAATTCACAGACTTTATCCCAATTTAAATGGTTAGCATCCAAATTATTAATATAAACTTGATATTAAACTTTTTTTATGACTTCCAAATGTTCAATTGGTTTTACTCTAATTTGCCATTCATATTAACATGAATTATGTTATTTCAGTCAACAATTGTTTTCCCCCTTTTATGACAATGAAAATTATTCATTTGTGTAGACAAATAATTTATTGGTTGAACAGTAATCAATTTATATGCCCAATTCGGAATAATGACAATTACCTAAGAGAGAATACTTGAGTCATGACGAGCGGTGAATTTCAAATTACTTGCTTTTACATATATAATTTCGTTTATTGCTACGCGACTCTCTTAGCTTGTACCTTTTAGCTTCCGGTCGAGGGTCACCGTTTAACACCGCTTGCGCTTCCAAATTGATCTAAGGGGAAGTCAATTTGCTTGTTGCGTGGGAAATCTATTGAACCATGAAGTGACTCGAAAAAAGAAACAAATTTTAACTGATGATATTCAAGGATTTATTCCAAATAAAATAATCTTCAACATTTCAAGAACAGAAATATTTTACTTTACGGCATTAAATGTGATTTTTTTGAGACTACCTACAAAGATTTCAAGACATCTAACACGCAAATATCAAACTGCCGCATCTGCAACCGCTTGCTAGCTCATCATTGACTTCTTAACCTACTCAACATTTTTTCTCTGCTCTCACTCACTTCTTGCTTGAATGAATCACAATGGCATCTTAGCGTTTCCTCCTAGACAATTGTTGTACAAATTAAGTCATTAATCTCGTAATTTGTTGAGAACATGATTAATTGCTTTCAAATGAAGTCTTAGTCTTTGTTAGGATGAAAATGAGGAAAGAGAAATATTGCAAAATCTCGTCGAAAGAGAATCCTTCATTGTTCAAACAGTAAACGAATCTGTGCCATGTTTTAATTGTTTGTCAGGCATGAGAAATGCATTTACGGGAGGAGAAGAAAAATTTAAAAATGCTTATGATGTCAACGAAATATTACAAGCTTATAAATTTGTTAAAGAGTTTCGCAAAAATCTCAAAAAGTCTTTTCTAACGGGGCTTGGGTGCATTCGATTCATTGTGAATACTTTTCGTGCGTTGGAGTTATTATGCAAACTCCATCCGTACATATTATTTGAAACTTTGCAATTTATTCATCTTCTTTTATATTTATGTATGTCTCGAAGACATTTGCGTCTCACAACCTTAAATTCAATTTATATGCAAAATAAAAATTGCGAAATTCACTTAGATGAATGTTTTCACTATGAAAGTTATGAGATATTTAAAATATAAATGACAAAGCCTTTGATTAATCATGACATTCTCTTTTTATTATAACAGATGATGAAAGTGATTTGATCAACACTAATTGATCAACAGTATTCCAATTGCATTTTGTTTGGAGGATATTTCAATTTGATTTATGTGAGTAAAGATATTTTTTCATGTTCAATACATATTGTGCAGTGTTAAAATTTTAAAAGTTTCTCATTCAAAATGATTTTACTCTGATTGCAACACAATTATTTATTAGGTTAAGAGATTAGATATTTTGTTTTGTCATTGTGACTTATTGCCTCGCGGATGGGAGAAGGCGGAAGTATGCCCTTGACCTGTTGTCATGCTGTTAATAATCAACCCGAATCAAAAGGTGAATGCAAGAGTTATTAAAATAACATTAAAAACTATTTCAGTGACTCAGCTGCCTTCGCTACCACCATAGATACATTCAAATCAATATTTAATGAGTCAAAAAATTGTTTCAACTGTTTCAAAATTAATGTTTAGTCCAATTTTTGATTTATTGGTTCATTAACGTCGAAAAATCTTTCAGAATGATCTTCAAACAAGCAACAAGCTTATTTGCTATGCTAGCACATTTATTATGTTTCTGAAATTTACTGAGGTTAGCCAGCAATATTTGCACTCAATTATCGACTGCTGTAATACTTGCTTTACATATTAATTCAATTCATGAATTATATTTTATGTTTTGCGCCAATATCTGAATATAGAAACAAACTGCTACTATGAAAAGTTGCTTGTGATCGATAAACGCATAAATTTTCTTCTTGCAAATTTCTGCTATTTATAAATGATTAAAAATTTCATTCGATTTAATATTAATCGTTAAATGTAAACTTCATATTTATTGCACAGTATCCACAACATGTCAATTAAATTGAAACTTAATGTGCGGAAGACAAGTCTCAATTTTACGAACAGACAACATCGTATTTGTGTCCACGTTATTTAATTAGGTGAGTAAACAAAATAAGTTGAAAAACTTCATGTGTAACGATGTGAAATTCATTGAGGAGTAAGACGCTTATTTAGATGTGTGGACAGACGCATAAAAATGTCAAATGTTGTTGATTGCTTGAGGATAATTATTTATATCATTGCTCTCATAAAAAATTCCTAAGTAGGTAGTTATAGATGAAAATTATACTTCAACTCACTGTTTATTATTTATTTAAGAAAATAGAAAAGAAGTCAAATAGCCGACATGATGCAGTTATGAAATTTGAATTCAATGTGTCAAAGTTAAAGTAAAACGTGACTTTATTTATCTCTTACACGTGATGAATTTTTGAAATGGTCTTTAAAGGTTCACTGACACTTCTTTCTGTCAGTAAATTTGATTCTTTTTAGGGGAAGAACATCGTGATAGGTAACTTAACAATGATGATTCCTTTTTTCGCGTAGCAGATGGAATCAAATTACTCAATGAAAAGGCGCTTGTTTCTCTGAAAGGTGGAATATTTGAGAGGGTCAAATAGCAAAAAATACAAAAATCGTAACTTTTAACGACTGAGGCGGGTGATGAAAAATAGTTGATAATTCATTTTGACGGCAATTAATTGATGGTTTTTTATTATCCTGCAAACCATTTAATGGAAATTAGTTCTGACGGTGTTTTTGTTAGCATGCATAAAAGAGAATTTTGTTTTAATATATGTTTTCACGCTGTGTATTTGACTCCAACAACAAATGGACATTGTAATGGAACATAATGAAAATCGAATTCAGACACGCAATGCTCGCATATTCATTTGGTGTTTTACTTTTACACATTTCATTCCATTAATAACATTTCTGTTTTCCTTTCTTGGTTATGCCAGTTTCATGATAAATACTATGAAATATTGACCAAAAGTGTTCATATTTAATCAACAGCCAATGGCTTACTAATAAATTTTCCCTGCTCGTTATTGATTTCCACAAATGAATGAAGTAGAAAAAGTTCAAGTCGCTAAACTTTCCCTTTATTTAATGTCGTTAGCATGAAGTTCAAGAAACTTATATTCAAGTTATTTTGTTAACTAGTTAGATATTTCTTCAACCAGATCACATTTCAATTGACGATTTATTTAATGAGTTAAAAATATTTTCTCTTCATTTAAATCATTTTTCTATAGCAATTTATCGTGAAAATATATGAAATTTCTTACTTCTATATTATCTTGACTTTTTTTTTCAATGCAACCAGTTTCATGTTGGACGTTATTTAATTAAATAATTAAATAAAGTTTTGCAAACGAAGCAACTTGTTTTTCATAATATTTATACAGTTAAATAAAATGTTTTTCTTTATTACATCAAAACATGATTAAATGTGACTCTTGTTTATGGAAAATGTTTCGAAAAGGTTTTCACATTGTGTGGTCCAAACGAGCGTGAGACTGATTTTCGACACATTTATTGACACAACTTGAGTAACTAATTTTTCAGTGAGCGAATGAAAAATAAAAAGAAAGAAAGAAGTGACTATTAACTTCTGCTATTCCAAACAATTCAACTGCTTTAAAAAGCTTGTAACATTTGATATTCAAGCTAACACTACCAACAAGAAATTCATTAATTTAATTCCACCAGTGATTAATTTTCTTTAAAAAATTATTTTCATTGAAACACAAGATGATAGTCAATTTTGTTTTAATGAGATTTAAGTCCGTTAAGCTTACAAGCAGTATATTGATCGGTTGAATTAAAACCTTTTAGATTTTTGCGATGGATTTAACATCGGATTTTAGCAAAACATTATAGCTCCATATAATAATATAAATTATCCAATTTTCAATTAAACTCTTTCGATAAAATAATTTTTATTATTCCATTGTGCAAACCATTTAAAAAGCGAAGCAATTTCATTGAGAATCGTGCTGAAGCTTCACAATTTAAATGACTGTTGAGTTTTATCGGTAGACGCTTCCATCTTTTATAATGTCAACTTGCGTATATTTGAATTAAAATTTACATTGCTAAATCTTTAAAGTGTATCATTTCAACTATTATTTATTTTCGTGCATTCCTTGTTGTAGCTACTCGCTTATGATACAATCATGAAAAATCTAGTAGTCAACTGGTCTCATAAGCAAATTGTTGAATTATATTATCTTTGTTACTAACAACAGTAATTTTTATGAACTTATTAAAGAATAATTGAAAGCGAAAATGTATCCACCACAAAGAGTCGTGAGAAATATGACCTATTGAACTATTACTAAAGTAAAAGATAGCATAAGACCGTAAAAATGAAACGAATAATCAAAACAACAACAAAGAACGCCAAACTTTGCTAACTTAATAAAAATGTTCGATGATGAAATGAACGCGGTAGTATATACATGTGTATGAATGTCAAAGATCGTACTTCAAAAGAATTAGATATCTAACGAGTATAAATATGTATAAATGGAATAAAAGAGAAATAGAGTTAAAGAGACAACAAGAAAACTTCATTTTAAGTAGACAATTTTAATTGTTCTGAAGCAAATATATCACCACGTGTCAGAAGTTTTATGAACAATGTCATATTAAATGTAACTTATTACCACGAATAATTGTGTTTAATGGTGAAAAGTGCACATAACCTAACAGCATTTACTGTCATTTGATGATCTAACAATCATGAATAAATATGTTTGATATTTTATTTCATTTTTTTCCATTTACTTAGTGATTAATTTGTAAAACTTAAATAATTCACTTACATAATAATGATTTCATTTTTTATTATGCATATTTTAACCAAACATAATATCTTGTCATATAAAAACTTTTAATACGATTAAGGAGTTGTAAAAACAATGTCAAGAATTTAAAAATTAATTGAAAAATTCTTATCTGAATATAACCAGTTACAATTCTAGGCACTGCTCCCATGGAAATAACTTATAAATTATACCATCTCAAGGATAAGAATGTAATGTGACATTACAACCTGGCTGTAGTAGGATATTGAAAAACCATTTTAAGAACTCTCTAAATAAATCTATTTGGATATTTACATGACGTCATACTTATTTTGTTAATTATTCATTCAAACATTTACTTTATAAACACAAACATTTAAAGTTTAAATAAATTTCTTAGGAAAAATCAGTCTCATAATCCGATAAGTCTCAAACGGAAATGACTTTTTAAAATACAAAGATGAGATGAAAACGATCAGAAACCAGATTCAAGAAAAAATATAAATAATTCATAATTCTTCGATCAGAAAACATGTAACAATAAAGCAAGTTTAACAATACTTTGATTGTTGTTCAATTGAATGAGTAGTTAATTTAAACAGAAATTGTATTAAAAACAGTGTGAGAAGAATTGTTGTAAATGTTCTTGTTAAAAGCGATCTCCCATGAAGCAGAAAGTCTTGTTCGTACATTTTAAATTTAGTGAACAAAACATGGAACTTTTTTTTTCATTCATGATTTCCATGTTAGTTTGAATCGAGGGATTGAATAATTCTTTCACTTCAACATCCAAAGTGAAAGAAACAAAAATGAAGGCGTCATGTACATGTTGTATTAGTGACTTTTTGAACTTTCAATTGTTTATTGCTATATTTACATTTGAAACTTTTCTATGGGCAATTTTGAACTCCTTTCATCCATTATGAAATACATTCAAAGAAAAACATGTTTTTGAATCATCCTCGCCTCAAACCTGGCATTTGAAAATCCTTGAAACAAAAAGAAATTTTCTTTTAAAATGTAAAATTCTCAAACTTTTCCTTTCTCATCTCCATTAAATGTCTTTCTTTATAAAATCGGAATAATTTCTTAAAAGTTTTATTGTAAGGTACAAGCTTGAAGTGTAGAAAAAGTTTTCAATATAAATTATAAATCGAAAATGTAATAAAATTTAGTGACGCTTTCAATTTTTTTTATATAACGCTAAGTTAACAACGATTTTTAATAAAAATCGTCGAGTTTTCAATCATAAAAAATAAATCATAAATTTCGATATTCCTGTTGATCTAATAACATGTGAAAAAATGTAAATTAAAACATAAGTCGATGACTCATAACAATAATTTACACATTATAAAGTCAGCCAGCGTTTCATTCCAACGGATTATCATAAAAGCTATGGTTAGTTGAATTGAGTAAATAAAGATATTACCTGGAACACTCTTCAGCTGTTATTAAGAAAAATTATGTTGATATGTATGTGTCTGATGCGCGACATCGATGGCATTACCAGTAATTATCGTCATTATTCATTGTTGTCTTATTGTGTTCTTTCGTTTACAATTTTCAGTGCAATCTTCGCTCTATAAAGCAAGCAAGCAAATAAACGAACGCAGACAATATCATTTATTGTATCCTGTCTCACGCCAAAGTAGTCCCTTGACATTAGTCGTGTGTTGCTTTCGTATGGAAACATCACATTGGTGCCGAAGAACATACACCAGGCCAGAACATCGTTTAGAATGATGTGATGTGAAAAGTTATGAGAAGAATAAACACATAAAGATTTATTTATTAAGCACATCGAGCTATCAAAAGGCAATTGATTTCCTCTTTGTTTGAAAATCAAAGGCATTATTGTGGCAAGACATGTATGAGACAATAAAAAATCAAATCGCCCACAAAGAGAGCATAAAATAATGCACAAAGATAAGAGAATTGTTTTATAACATCGCGATGTTTCTTTCTTCCATAATTGCATGTTAAGACCTCAACGCGAAATCTTTTCTTTTTCTTCTTCCTTTCATATATGTTGCGATTAAGTTGTTTTATTATTCTCAGCTTTTCAATTCACATACACACGATAATTTAGTAATTTTAAGCTTTAAAATCTATATTATTAAATTGATAAGCGTGAACCATGTAGATATGTTAGAAATTATTTTGGTATTGCGAATTTAGATTTATTTGAATGAGATAAAAATTGATGTGATAAGAATTTAATAATTTCTTCATTTATTTGCAGTTCCACTTGTCACATTCATATGAATTTGTGCATTTTTAAATTAAAAAATATCTGACAATTGCACGGTTGTATTGTCTGCTGAATTAAGAAACAATAAACATAAAGGATTAAGAAGATTGTAATGAAGCAGCAAAAAAATAATAAATTTAAATTGTTGTCTCACTACAATGAAATGCCACGTGTAACATGACTTAATTGTATAAATTAATGTCACTAATTCTTTTTATTTATAAATAAACAGTTTAACTGATAGATCAATATCCTACATTATATGCATACATTAGCATTGGTCATGTGAGTTCCATCACATCAATCTCAATTTAATTTGCATAATGATTGATGGGCACTGAGTTGTTTGCGGAAAATTATATGTAATCATGGATAAAATTGATTTTATCGGAGATGAAAATGGTGATAATATTCAAGTCTGACTAAACGGTTTGAAAGTCTTTTATCAATTGATCAAAATTCAAGTTTAATGCACGTATTTTAAACTCTATAAAAGCAAGCATAAAAATATTTATCTTGTATGCGGCCAGCTTTCTGTACTGCAATCATTTGCATAACATTTTCTTCTAACCTTATATATCTTTAAATCATAACTCAATTTTCTGGTAAAACAAATGCTTTCCAGTTGATGGCTTAAACTTTAAAGCTATTATTTACATGGAGGTAAAACAAATTTCATTAACTCAGCTCAATTTTCTAAATCATAATCTATTATACACTTGATTGAATTCATCTTTATACCAATTGGTTTTGTGCTCTGAAATTGACCAAAGCTCAAGGGAAAAATGTCAAGGAGGTCTTTATTACATTAATAAACATTGCATAGTCTTGTCTTACTGATGAAAATTCATCGATTTAAATCTCAAGTTGATCAACCAACGCGAATGACTCTTCGAATTTCATTCATAATTTCAAAAGACATAAACTCACACCAAACCAAACACCATAATTTCAAGATATGCAAATGAAGTTTGTTTCTTATTAGACTTTCAAATTGTATCGAAAATTTTTGTAACTCTTCCGAAGAAAGATAAATATTTATATTTCAAATGCGATCAACACGGAACATTTTAAGTAAAATGTTTCTTTAATTCTATTATGCATCATCCAATCAGAAATCATTGTCGACATGATCAAATTTGTTTTCTTACTTTTTGAAAAGGGAAAATTGAATTTTTAAACTTTAAATGTATGCAGAAATTTTTATGAAAAGAAAAGCGGAAAATGTGATTTAAATTCACTTAATCGAGTCGCCTCTATCGACAAACTATTGAAAATTTGCTCATCTACATTCATTTATACACAATTATACAATTTAGATATACTCGAGTGATTTTCAACTTCCTTTACGAGCTTTATGAGCTTATTTTTAACACGTTATTTTAATTCGAATAAATACATAAATAATTTCTTTTTAAGATGATGAGAAATACGAAGTTTATTTATTTAGTACCAAAGTTTAAGAATATTAAAAATACAAACTTAAATTGAGATCACAAAGGAAAACAGCACGAAATGTTTCATTCATAAGAAATTGTTTTTTTTCTTTCTTTTTTGAATGACTTTTGTCATCCGCTTTGATATTAAAGCCAACCTGTTTCGACAGGCTAACTATAAGAAAGAAAAAAACTCAAATCAAAGCTAATAAATTTCGGGATCTTTTGTTCACCTTTTTGATTCTTTGGCTTTTAAAATTTTTAAGATATTATAATGGCATGCCTGTAGAAGTGATAAAAATGTCAAATTTTTTTTAATTTTTCCTTAGTAGTTTTAACGAGACTTTTGGTGAATCGGAATAAATTTTATATCAAATTACTGCTGATGGAATTAGCATCATCTTCATAGAGAATGCTGTTTTACTAAAAATTAAAATTGATTCTAAATTCTTGTCACAGACACTCATAAAAAGAAAATAATTTAAATTAATTAATTAGTCACAGCGTGTTATTTTAAATTTAATTAAAATCAAACTTGTTACTTCCTTAAATGTTAGAATTTGAAATGAGTTAAATTCTTTACAATATTTGATTTCAAAACATATTCAATAATGTTACAGTCAAAGTTTTCATTTCACATTGAATATGTTATTAATTATTTGGCAAAAGTCTTTGTTTCATTCTTAACTAATTAATTGTCTGTCTTTTGACGCGTAGTAGGTTTGTCGTGACCTGTAGGATAATGTTTCAAAGTTTCATATTTGATCTTTATTAGATTAGGATTGAAAGCAAATCCAATTATTCTTAATTTTGTATCTTTAAAGCCATTCAAAAGTTTAATTCGAGAAAAAATTTCAACCCTGAAATGTTCAATTCTTTGTTTTGATGGACGTTAGGGAAAAGCTACTGAAATATAATTTAATGAAACAGCTAATAAAATCACAAATATTCGATAAACTTAGTTACATCATTTTAAAATTTATTTACTTTATTATTTACTTCTTAAATATCTAATTAAGCAAACAGAATAAAACCGAAAATATTGATTGACTGTAAATTGATTTAAAATTATCGTAAGCTTGTTTGTCATCGACCGTTTGTTGTCGATCAACGGAGGACAAGACATGAAAGAGAAGGTAATAATCTTAAAGAGCGCAATTGGTTAATTCGACAAAAGAAACACAAGCCGAAAGTGTAACAAGCCATGAAACATAAAAAGGAGAAAAAGCACTTTTGAATACGCGTGTCTTTATTAAGACAGTCATAATGAAATAATCTGTTAATTCACAAAGCGAAATTATGTTCGAAATAATTAATCATGTATTGCCGCTACATCGCTTAGCCCGTGGCTAATTTTGGATTGATATTTTGTGTGTTGCTAATAGCAAGTTGCAAATTTGTTGCATTTATCGTGGACAGTCTTGTGAGATTAAATTAAGTTTAATTAATGTTGACTGTGACTAATCGAGCGAGTCTCAAAACTTAAATGTTTTCATTGTTTGTGCTTTGATATTTTGATATGATTCAGTAGAGAAATCAATTTCATTTGATTTCGTGACACATAAAGGCTTAAGACAGAAAATTAATGATCGCTTTTGGGTCTCACAAATATGAAAAAGAAGAAGAGAATTCAAACAAAAGTAAGGTCATTCCGATGCTTCCAACAGTGTTTTGATTTCATCAAAGTCTCTCGTCAACTTCATTCATTTGAGTTCATTCATAAAGAGTTCATCTTTACAATATTTGAACGAAGCAAGTGACTGTTGGAAGTGCTGCATGTGTGAATATTGAATATTATCATGTGAAATATTGAGTCGTTTACAGTTCAACAACAGCAGTCTGTTTAAATGCTATGCACGTTTTTACGATTATTGCTGCCTATTTCATCGCATCACAAAAAGCCTCATACGCGTTATTTCCTTTTGAAATGTGCGCTTAATTCACTCTCTTTGTCTTTGTCTTTACTCTTGCCTTTCTTGTGCTTTCATTTAGTTCTTAAATATTTACTTTTATGATTAGACGATTGCTGTGAGAAAAGTTCAAATTAAAGTTGGAAAATGTTCGAAACGAGACATTCGCTTGTTAACTAATGGCAGACATCTAGTGAAGTGAACGATTAATTTTAGTAGCTTTAATTATCACTCAACTGTGTCAGTTTGAGGAATTTCTGATGTTGATTTCATCCGGTTGCAAAAATAATATTATTGAGAAGAAGGAAAAAGATTAATTGCGTTACCTTTTCAAATTGAAGAACTTAACATGAATGCTTTGCTTATTAAATGTGAATTGTGAAGAAGAATAAAAGGAAAGAGCAATTCAACTTATTACAAGTTAAAGTTTAAGTAAGATTAAGATATTGTCACTTTGATGCAATTTACTTCTCTTCATTTCTGCATTCTTATACAAAACACATTAAAGCACATAAAAATCTCATAGTTTAGCAGCTCGTTTTGCGACATTGTATCACACACATTTCTGTTGTAAATCTGAGCATTTATAGATCGTAAAGTATTTGGATAATTATCCACAAGCAAGTTATTTTGAAATTTAAATTATCTTCAGTTGCTACAATGAGCTATGAATATAAAAATTTATATCAATTTCCTCTATTTTTATTGAAAAGTCTGTTTATGGCTTTGCATTTTAATCTGTTTTAAGTTTATTTTTAAAGGATTCCAAATACAACTAATTATATTAATACTTTCTATAATTTTTAAGCTTCCTTAAAATGAAATGAAATCTTAAAAATTCCATTTTATTCACCTCAAGAAATGAATTTAAAAGGCATTTTGAATTGAAGCCACGTGTTTTGATGTATCACTGGATTAATGCTTTACAAAGTTTTATTTCTGAAAAGCGTATTAAGATGAAATCTTTCGTTATATTATTGTGGTTCCTTTTCATTGCAAGAATATAATATTTCATGGCACACAAAAGACTTATTATCATCAGAAACAAATCTCATTCAATCCACTTTTGAGACAACTGATTTCGATATGTTTTTAAGCCCAGAAGCTGGAATCAATAAAAGACGTAATAAAATATGACAAGTCATTCATGTTCATGAATTATTCTCATGATGGAAGAGAAAAAAATTCTGAGAAAATTATCTCAAGAATTAAATCGCTTTTTTTTCGAATGAGTTTTGTGTTGTTCGTTATTATTTTTGATTCAAATAATCACAACATGTCATTACGCTGAAAAATTTCTATGGGTTTAAGATTTACATTTTGATTCCTTAAAAAATTCGAAAGATGACAAATTGGTTTTTGAATATAAGAACGAGATATTGTTTGATTTTATTAATACCTTTTTTATATATTTTCAAGCTTTGCATCACACCGATAAGTCGCACTTAACTGAATGACACTTGACTTATGGACGACGAATAAAAATTAGCTGAACTCCATTGGCACGAAAGGCTTCCCAAAAATTTGCATAAGCAGAATATTTATTGCTACATGGCACGCGAAAAAAAAATTTAATCAGAAAATGTTTCGCTATGGTCGAGAGTTAGAAGATAAAAAAAATAGCATTTCATGATGTCATTGACAAACTCATTGGTAATGATCAAAGCTGGTTAGCATTCTTGGTGGTGACACTTTGTCTGATCGTTTTTCTCAATTACTAAAAGTGACAAAGTTTCTTACATGATATTTATGCAATTCTTATCGTGGGTTTGGCCGCTCAATATAAAAGTCTTTAATTAAAGAGATTAAAGATATCTACAGATTTAATTGTATAGCACATTGTCCTCCCTCGCAATAAAAAAGAGAGTTATCTTAGCTTCCATCATTATCGCTATTACTGCTAAGGCGTTCATGATCTTCAAATTGTACAATTCTTAAATTTACACTATGAATAATAAAAACAATTGACAACAATTAGCTTTTGCGCTGGCAGCAGACATGCTGAAAAAAAATGCAGACAAGAATAAAACTTTCAGATTTCTATCTGTGAGTGAAGTGTCCGTTTATATTTAACTTTACAAGAATTATAGCTAACCGATTGCAGATAACGAATGAGACAAAGACGACACAAAAAATTGTAGCAGCACTTTTCACTACATCTTCGTGACTTGCGCAACAAGTTTATATCACCTTCTTTTTGCTCAACTCCTTGTTGTTGATTAGGGAGAAATATATTCAACAATTCAACAGCGGAAATGCTTTAAGTCAAATATAAAAATGGTTTTTTAATTCATTGCTAGCTATAGTAACGACAGTTTTCATGCTCATTGATTCGATGTAAAAACTTAACATGCTAATTTGTTGATTCTTAATGACTCGAGAAATTGTTTCTGCTTGAGATGTCTCCCGTTTGATATACATTTAGGAAATGAGCTTACGAAACCAAATAATTACCGTGAAAGATGCAATCATAAATTGCTTTCATTGTCATTCGAAATCTTTTTAATTTATTTTGGAATAAAATTGATTATAAATTTTATAATTAAAGTCAAATAATATTTGATGATTCAACTGAGTGATCATTTGACCATTACTTGGGTCTTCAGAATAAAATGAATGTCAAACATGGTAGCAATAATTTCGACTAATAAATCAAGAACCTAACATGAATAATAAAACAAATATTTTTATTTTATTTGTTAGACGAGCATGCAGTTCAATTTATTTGCAAATTTTGCTTTGTCTTTGAATTTTCATGAAACTTATTGTTAGCAGTTGTTTAGTCTATTTAGTTTATAACTGTTGATAGTCTTTGATATATGTTTCTCAACACAAAAAAATTAGTAAACGGTGATGATTATTAGTAAACAGTAAGATTTAGTGCAAAATTATGAAAAAACATTTATCAAATGATGTTTGAATAACAAATATTCAAGAGAATGTCATTTGAAATGAACTGTCGAATTCGTAAATCACTGAAATCGAAATAAAACAAATTATTTTTTCATGAGCTTAGATCAAGCTAAAAATAAATCGACAATACTCACAGTTGAAATTTGAGATTCGAAAATATTTCAGGACCACAGAAACTTGTTTAAACCTCGCATTTTTTTTCAGTGTGATGTTAAATATTATTAATGACTTTAGTACTACAGTAAAAATTCCCATAGTTTCGATGGCAGCTTTACATTGTTTTTTACTTTGTGTTCGAAACGAACGAAACATTTCTTTATGACGCTCTGACTGCATGAACGTCAACCAGTTGAATAATACTTTGTATTTATGATAAATGAGAACAAAATTGCATAGAAAGTGTCAAAATAGAATGCTTTCAAAGTTGTGACTAAAGAAACTACTGTTGATTTAACTTACCTAGTACTTATTTCGCATTTTTTCAATATTGTGTTTTGATACATCAAAGCTTAAGTCTCGTATGAGATTTGCATGAGTCATGAAAGATCGTGGAATGCAGCTGTGGCTGACTCAAGGTTACTAACAAAATAGTCGATGAAAATATTACAATAAATTTTCCTCAAAGCAGTCAAAAGTAAGTCGCTTAATTAATTGTAAACATGAATGCCATAAATCCATGTTCAGTATATCACACGAGGCATAAATGCCATCAAAAAATAAAAAAAGAACAATTCATCGAATATCATGACACAAACGTGAATATCTGTAGTCGACAAATCCAAACACTTTCAAATACGGATTTCAGGAGGAAAAAAATGAAAATAACAAAAAGAGACAAAAGCTAAATGTGAATGAAAAAATAAATATGAGTAGTCAACGATCGATGAATACCGAAAAAGGCAAATAAAGAAGCCGGTTTTGTTTTGTAAAAGAAGGAGAAGAAGCAAGAAACTTTTTCTCTCTGTGTGAAAAATTACAGAGCTAATTTAAAAATTAAATAGGAAATTAATTTCAACTAATATGCGAGTAGCTGGTTAGACACAATGAGCGTGACCGTTCGTTCATTGAAGTGATTGATTATTGGAAACGCAAGTTACATTAAAAGAAAAAGAATTGACTGTGTTCATGTACTTTTGCAGTAATATCTCATAAAATACAACTTGCAAATAGCCAGCAGATATCTTTTGACTGCTTAAGAAAGAAGAAGAAATATTCCAAACATTGTAAACGATCCGCAAATTTATTTTACTCCAACAAATCATATGCAAGAAGCAGCTTCAACAATTGAACAAACGAGAAGCATAATGAAAAACAAATATAATAGTGAACAGCATAAATGTCAAACATGCTGTTAAGCAACTTCAATGAACATGTTAAACATTGAAAATGTCACAATTAAGAAGTATGAGGCAATTAATGTTAACTTTCGATAAGTTAATGTATCTCTTAAACTCTTTTTTAACTAAAATATAATAAATAACAATTGCTATATGAGTTCGAGTTTAGTAATCGGTTATTAATATTCAATATTAATCTTAGGAGAGATTGAAAAATAAACAAAAACATTTCTACACGTAGCTGCATTATGTGTTTGTGATTCAAATTAATATTATTGACTTATTGTCTTTGAAAGAATGCAAATTACTTTGATCAAACTCACCACTCACTTGATGAATACCTAATTTGACAAATGTATACATTTTTTATTAAATTCTTTTTTCGATTTAAATTTACAGTTTTCTTAACAAAAGAGATAAAAAGTAACTAATAAAATTTATGACATAAAAACATGCTTTTTGTCTAATGAATTCAAATTTTCCTGGGGATTTATCATGTAACAACCAGCAGGCTCATGTTTCCCAAACAATCTTTTTATGTCATGTACATTTACTTGCATTACAGAATAATCTTTTAAAGACTTACAAACTGTAAAAGCATTTAGATAACTCTCTATAATGCTCTCTATGATGTCACCGGTTATTGTTATCATCTAAAGTAAAGCTTGGAATTAAAGGAAACTAAAATGTTTACACGCTTATTCATTTTTTCAATTTACTCTTTTTTTATTTACTTTAGCTTTAGCTTGATTGTTATCAGAAAGTGTTTCATACAAGGAAAGATTTTCTCTCACTCAGGTGGTTTTGTGTGTTGTTATCTTTTATACGTTTTTTAAAAAGAGATACAAAACCATCGGTGAGTTGAGAGACTCTTTCCTTTTTCGACGAGTTTTGTTGAGCAGAGAAGAAACAACTAAAAGCCTCTCACTGCTTTAACCATTTAGTTGACTTTGTGTTGCCTCTCCAATATTTCTATGCGCTTTACCTTCGGTTGTTTTGCTTACTTTTTTAGTTTTCTTTCCAACTCATTGAATAAAAAACGGTTTCTCCCTCGATGTCTGTTTATCCGATCAGTTATATTTTGTCGCTGTATCTGATCAAACCGTTTTTTCAGCGTGAGGTCTTAAAGTCGCATAAGCTACAAATCCATTAATAAAGAAGCTCAAATTTTGTTCATGAACTTAAAGAAGTTTTTTTAATAATATTTTCAAATTAATATATGAAGCGGATTTTATCTTTATATCCAAGATAATAAGTGAAAATTTATCAGAAATGATAAGAAAGCGTGTTTGATAACACGAGGAAAAAAGTTGTGCAGCCTTATTTTATACATAGAAAGAAAAATCGCTCTCCAATTTTAAACATAAAGTATTTAAGATTTTAATGTGTTGCTGAGATTAATGTTTCCTGTTCTTCCAACATCTCAGCTTTTCATAAGTTAACATTGCATAGAAATTGGATGAATAAAAAATCAGGAATTGCAAAGTTCTATAATAAACCTTAATAAGACGAAGTGACATCAATAAATAATAATTAAATCAGTGCATATTTAATTGAATTAAGCGCACAACATAATTAATAAATTATTCCTGTCATCAAGTGTTTCATGAGAAGAAAAATATTCTCAAAGTGTAACAAGAATTTGAAATATTTCTAGTTGGTTTTACTTTTAAATAGCAGATAAATAAAATTTATATTCTTCAATGCTGAACTTTGAATAAATCAAACATAGCCAGCACGCAGCATAAATTCAATAAGTCTATGGGACAATAATAAAAAGGTTTATGGATGCGGTAGGAGATCAAATAGTTCCGTCGTCAAATTTTTATGTAATGCAGGTGAGCTTTACAATTTTGCTGTCATTGAATTTTTTTAAATCTTTATCAAGATATTTTCGAAAAACGCAAAATTATTCGTTCAAAAATCAAAAATCAATGAGTTACACTTGCGTTATCAACACTTGATGATAGTAAACATAAATTTTACAGTTTGATAGTTATATTTGACGTCGTGGAGTGATAAGACGATTGATATGAAATTGCACGTAAAAGTATTGCGAAATGTTATCAAAATCATGTCTTGCAAGTTATTTGCTTCAAAAAAATTATGTTTTAAAGCAATTTATCAGATAACTGTTATATGTTTGTTCTTATATTAAATATCATAAGAATTTTTCAGCTTTCATAAGTGTTTTTTACTTCAGATAAAAAGGCTTATTAATATAAGCTTTAAGTTCTCGGATATTTGTTTTCCACATGTCAATTTGTGTCATTTCCGTTGAAAAAATTTTAAATGAATCGAGCGACGTTTCATGATAAAAAATGCTCTAAAGTCAATATTGTTCTGTGAATAATAGCTTCGCTTTATCTCCGAAATGACATAAATATTTATTGCAATTTGTTTAGCGAGCAATTAGAGTGGAGAACGATTGTCTGTAGCATGTGTTGTGTTGAATGACTAAGTTAAAGTTATTTTAGTTCTGTTTGCCATAGGAAAAAGCTTGACGCAAGATTTATTTTTTGTTTTCTTATGGATATAAATATAACATTTCCGATACGGCTTTTGAAGTGTCGAAATCACGATAAGAAAATTTACGAAGCTCATAAAGAAACAAAAGACATGAAAAGTTCCGACGGATTTATTGCTTGTTCTAAGTAAATTATCAGAAAATAGTTTTAGAAGCAATGACGCTTTTATGGATTTCCATGCCTTTCCTGTAATTTGATATTTCTCATTCACTTAATATGCCTATGATCAATAAATTAGTAATTTTCCATGACCCTTTTTTCTACACCTTGATTAAAAATGTTCATTTAAAAGCTTCTATTCAGTTATTAAAGTTTTCTTTATATTGATGTCCTACAAGTTCGAAGATAATTCAAGTTAACAGTACACAAGACATGTGTAATAAATTTTTGATTAAATAATTTTTGAATGTCGTAAAATCAATAAATTTAAATTCCACAAGCATCAATATTGGATTTCGATTATACATTATTGAAAAGAAAAATATAAGATTCTGTACATACGAAAATTGCTTGCGATGAGTATTTCTTTACTGATATTTCTCTCAATATTTACACAACATTCCTAACTTGATGTGAACATATGAAATTAAAATTTATTAACATCTCCCGCGTCTTTATTGATAACAACGACTGAGTGCTACTCGCGACTTAAATTTCATTTTGCAGACATCGTTTCAAGAAATTTTATAATGCAATTTTATGACGATCATATAAATAGTTTAAGTAAAAAGATGAAGAAAAAACCTTTAAGCCTTAATACATTTAATGTTCTAACGTGAAAAGAATTTTAATAATCGACAACACAATTATCCTACACTTTTCATTATACGACATAATGATAAAAATAATTTTGCGTTTAAGCGAACAAATGACTTGAAATCTTTTAGGTGTTCATAAATTTTTGTAAAAATATTTATTGAAATAAGATTATTGCTTTTTGGTAGATAAATAAAAATACTTTATTTATTGTCCTGAAACAAAACAAAGCTAAGGAAAAAAGCTTTATGACCTCGTTACATAACAAAGAAAAATGTCCATAATTTGAACCATGAAATATGTGCGTTATTTACTTTGTTTTTTGTAACAAAAACGTTGTTAGCTACAACATTTTCTTGCCTTTCATTTTGCTTCGTAATGAAATTTGATAGTCTCATAAAAATTCGAACAGAGTCTCATTTCTTTTTCTACGCTTTCCGTCACCATTCGTTTGTATTTAATGTGATAAATGCCGACATGTGAATGGATACATATTACATAGTGTTCATAAAAGCTATTGGAGACTTCAATGTCCGATGGAAGTGAAAACTTCTGAATCTAATAAATTCCTGGATCAGTTTTTTAAAAGCTTTCAGCACTAAAAGATTTTCACTTTTCTCCGCTTGTCCACCAACGTGTTTGGAGTAATAAATAAATTTTTATGCTGCCTTTAAGAATGTTTATTGGATGCAAAAGAAAAAATACTTATTTTTATATTTTATTGATCTTGTTATTTGCTGTTTCAAATGGTTAACTTCCATGCGCGAAACATTTTTCAGTCAGTTATGCAATAAATATATTTGAAGTAGATAATAGTTATAAACTTCATCAAACGATTTCACTGACTAAGTAGACAAATTGAAACGTAATTCAATAAACTCTTTTGTGCGCATGAGTCATTTGACGAAAGTTTTTCATCACATTTTCCACCATTTTCAAATAATTTTTTTCTCATATTTATTTACCCACAATATCGTAGTTGCTAATTCAGTTTTATTTTATAAACGTATAAAAAAAGATATTAAATACAAAATAAATTGATATGATCAAATTCATTAATCTATGTATGAAAACCCACGACGAATCATTGAAACAACATCTAGGCTAGTAAAATCAAAATATAATTTTCTTAAATAAAAAAATACATAAAATAAATAATAAAACACATAAATATACAAATTAAAAATTTATGCTAGCAAGTTCATGAAATTATTTGTAGCCATTTTCTGTTTAGTCAGAAACCACAGAAATTTTTTATGAAGCCATCGTTGATGCAAAATTTGTCTTAAAAGGGATTCACTGAGTGTATGTAATTTAGAAACTTAAGTGAGCTGAAAAAAGTTTTGTTTCTGAACATGCGTGGTTGCACGTTCTCATTTCCATAAGCTACAAAAGTTTTCATAATAAAATTCCAACTAAAACGAAAAATGGTTGGAGAGTGGAAAAAAATCAATTAATGGATGTGGAACATGAAAACGGAAAAGCCCTTGTTCGAGGAAGAATTTTCACGCTGCTTTGTGGTTTTCATTTTAATAACAGACATTTAGCAACGCTTCGACTAATGGACTTCTCTTTTCTTCTTTTCACCTTCACTTGATTTACACTCACAAGTCGCGAGTCGCCAGTCGATTACATTGCACGCTTATTGCTTTAGTAAATAATGTAAAGCTTTATAAATATTACTTGTTAACAGTTATTAACTTGAATATTGCAACATTCATGCAGAACCTAACAAATAATCATTCATTAGGCAAATTTCACACGTGTATCAAGTTTTGGTGGATGAAACAATTCAAGAAGCAACATTCCTTCCTTCCCAAATATTCACAACTTTTATTAGGAAATGAATTTGCAAAGATCGCTTTTAGATTCACATTTGTCTTACCAGCATTTTCTATTTTCCACTCAACAACATCTTGCATTGAATGTTAAATTGAAATCGATGTGAATAATCGAATAAATCGATGATGAAATAATGTGGCATAAGTCGTGAGGCTCAATTCGCAGCAGTTACAGAAAGATCCACGTGATATTTCACTTTGTTGCACAGTCATCGATTGAACTTAGAATGCAGTTTCGATTTCGACGGTATTTTGAATGTTTCAATGAAAGACTTGAACTGTTATGTTAATGAATATCATTTCACTAATCTCTCAAAATTGAAATTTCAACTGATGATGAACTGATTCGTTCCAATGTTGCCATTAAAGTCAAGGATTAATGATGATGACTATCAACATCAAGCCTTCTTTAAGACACCACTTGAAAACCTTTCAACCTCATCACTTGAGAATTCGGATCAAAAACTTCACAAGTAGTAATTTTTGAGGAAACTTCAAGTATCTGTGCTCTTGAAATACTCGACCTGTGAACTGAAATGTAATTTATTATTCATGTAGCGGAGTGTCGCTGAAATAGTAAATTTTCGATGAGAATTGTTAAGGTTTAATTTCATCTAATTCATTAATATTTAACTCTTTATGATTTGAAATTTTAACTTGAGTTTGATTTTTAAAGAATTTGAAATAAATATGCCAGGGAATGATAAATCGTTGCAATATTTATTTCAACTGTTGATAATCTAAATTTAGAGATTAATTAAAAAAGTAGATTTGATCATTATGAACAGCGATTCAATCACACTTTTCATTTACTATAAAAATGAAAATCATTACAAAGAATGGAAAAGAATTAAAGGCTTTTTCAGAGACATTATCAGAAGACGTTAATTAATGAAGAAGATTAAACCCACGCGCAAAGTCATTTAATTTCTCATAAGGCATAACGTGGCAATATCGCCGCGTGTCTAGTGACTTTTATAATCTTCTTTTATACGTTTTCGTGTTTCTTTATAATTTTTTAATAAATAAGAATTCAATATTGATACGAAGATACCAACAAAAACTAAATAAACCGCCTACGAATGTTTTCTTCCCAACTTGAAATCATGTTGAGGAGATTCTTATTATTTTACTTCTTATGAAAAAAAAGAAAGAGCGGATGGAAGAAAATATAAAAATAAGAAACAAATAATAAAGCACAAATGAAGAAAGCGATATTGACTTTGCTTTGGAGAACTGTCTTAACTTTAAAGTGCTGTAATAGTGACAGAATTATGTTCGCGATAGTGTTGAGTAACTAAAATGTATTTGATATATGTGCTGAAGTTGCTAATAATTAAAACTCTGTTTCAATAATTTATAAGAAAATAACGAAAAAAAGGCAACTGCACAACACCTATCTACTTTATTTAAATATTTTTTTAAAGCAAGTGGCATTCGCGGCAATAATATTAATGACGAAGCCTTTATAAATAATCTCTTTCGTGTTGCATCGTTAATTGAAAGATTGATTCTTACGATTGAAACAATTTTATGAGCAGAAATGAAATGTAATTTGCTGCTTTTGCAATGACTAATATTGTGGGTGTTTTGCGATCTAGCAAAAGTCGATAGATTGGATTTTCATTATGAAGTTGCAATTGAGTTGATGATTAATCTTATTTTGTCTTCGTCGCTTCGTTTTTAATGGAAAAATTGTTGAGAAATGTAAAATATTCATAACCATACATAGATTGTATTTATGGTTGCAATCTCGCAAAAGAAAAACAAAAGAAAAAGAGGGATAAAGCTTATAAATCAATTTCCTTTTTAAATTTATGCTGCGAGTGCAATTACTGTTAAAATAGTTTCAACTTTCTGAAGTGATTAACTTCGTTGATTTTTTACTTAATATTATTTACTTTGCTGGAAAGAAAACATAAAGTTGAATAGGCAATTTGTAATGATATTTGAGAATCTTATTTAATTCTATTGTTTTCAATTTTAAATATTTTATATAACTGTTTACTGCGATGTCATTAAAATCCCATTTATGGGGTGATGACAATTATTTTGAGCTGCTTTGCACTTGCAATCATATCCAACTTCTATATTACAGTTAAGTTATTTTTATGTTGTTAACTTAATGTTGCACAATTATTGCAATAGAGATAACTCTAAACATTTTAACCTTTTCTTCTCTTGTGTTTACAAAAATTCAAGTATTCATCTACAGATATATTCATACATGAATGAAATGAACAAACTAAGTAAGATCATTTCAAATTAAATAAAATGATAAAATCGAACAATTTTTGAATACGAATTTCGTTCATTTCATTCTCTCATGTCGTTGCCTTCATTTGAATAAGCTTAACGAATTGTAACGAATAATAACAAAAGAAGCAACAGTGATTGTACTCTGTCATGCGCATCAGTTAAAAAATGAAGTCGCACAGCAAATTACATATTGTTTTGATCATTGATTTGTAGTAGTACCCGCCATTTTGAAGTTGCTCTGCTAATTGTATTGAGTTTTGTTATTAGATATAATTTTATGAATATGATTTAAACATCAAGATGGAAAATTTAACAATCTTTATATTTTCTACTAAATAAGTTATTATTTTCTTTCATGTTTATTAAAATACTGAACCAAAATCATTTCATAATTTAACAAGGTACAACATGAAATAATTTCAATAATTTGACCTTTTCCACCCTCGAATGTTTATTAAAAGACATCCTTATAACATTTTAAAATTATTCATTAGGGTTAAATGTGTAAATGCGCGTATAAGCATTAAACCACGTAATTTATTTAATTAAAAGGCGCTAAATACTGTTGTTTCTCCTGAACAAAAAAAATAACTGCTGTTGTGGTTCAATCGCGTGCGATGTATAAATATTTGTCGAGAGGTCAACGTTCAGAATCTTTCCATAATAATCAAGAAAAAGATGAGGGAGAGAAAGGTTTTTATGGAGAAGCAGATGCATATCATTGTTGGCATTGCTATGACTTTCATAATTATAGATCGAAAGTGTAGAGGGTAGAATGATGACTTGGTTAACGATGAGTCATGATAAAATATTTCGACACGAACTTGATTAAAACAAAAAGATAAAGTAAATGAAAAAATATGTTTTATTCAATTCAATTCCACTAATGGTCTAGAGAGAATCACTGATAGGTTGCAGACGCTTCCTCATGCAAAATATGGTTAAATGTCAGACACATTCTGTTGATGAAAGTTATGCTAAGTGTGCAGTCATTTGTTAAACTCGGTTAACATGTATTTAGCATAAAAATTAAGGTTTTCGCGGAAAGTAGTGGAAATCGATTGTTAACACGCAATAGTCAAATTTATTCATACAATTTTTTAAAAAGTTTATTTTCACTACATACACCTACCTACATTTTGATGAAACTTTCTTTCATTCCACCGTGTTTTATTTTAAATTTCTTAGAAATATTTTTTAATAAGTATTAATGTTCTCACTTCAAATGAAAAATAATTTCTTTAATGAATTCATGATAACGAAAATTGGCATTAATTGGCACAAGATTCATTTTATATTCTTAACTAACATCAGGAAAGTCGAGTTTGAATTTCTCGAATGAACCTGATGTGGAATAAAGTAGTTCAGGCTACTGATTGATACCAAAAGCTAATTTACCAATTACCTGTTATAAGTTTTTCAGTGATACCAACAACAAATAATTCATTTTCTCCGCATTTCTATCCAATTAACAATCCTATTTTGCTTTAATTCTCGCTCGCGACCATTGCATAACGCGACATGATAAAGTCTCATGACATCTTCCTGTTTCCACAATCACTATAATGCTAAGAAAAGTATTTAAACCTGTTTTATGTTATATTTATTTAATTAAAATCAATTTATTGGTATCATTGGACGGGAAGAAATCTGCTGCATTTTCAAAGGTCGCAAGTATAAATGGTAAAAACAAGAATAGGAAATTAATTAGCTTATATTTTGTAAAACAAGACTTTCTTTTCATTAAAATGAATTTTCTAGTGAATGTCAGATTTCCAGATTTAAGTAAGCTCGTTATTCGCCTTCACTATTCAAGATATCAGCACACAAAAGTATCATCTATTAAAAAACATAAAAATCTAGTTTGTCTTGTTCATCTTTCTCAATTATCTGTGTGGATACTTATCAGAACTTCCAATCGATCGCCTGATCAAGCAAAAGCTTTAAGTGCAATATCTAATGATTTAAATTTTAAAGAATCAAATATATTTGTATATCTTGAATGTTTCTTTTTTGGTGTGTGGTCCAACTTAGTGTTGTTTATTTTTATTACACTGTATGACACAAAAACTGACCAAATGTGTTTTTATGACGAATAAATTATTGATTAAGCGATACCTGAACGTGAAATATATGTTTTTCTTCTATTTGATCGTATGATATTCACCGATTTGATGTAGAGTCAACAAGCTTATTTTTTTAAGATTTCACGTCCGACACTATTCGACACTTTAAACTTGAGTTCAGTTTTTTTTCTTCTTCCGTTCAACAAAGAATTTTTATTGCTATCGACAAATATAAAATGAGATATGATGCTCAAACATGGAAATTGACTTTTAATATTATTGATCAATAAAAAAAGATTCGAAGAAAAATATTTTCTTTAAAATTTCGAGACTTCAATGCCAGTAACACAAAAAACGACAGACGATCAATGGCAAACGTCATACAATCATTCGATCGAGCACTAACAAGAAGTTCATTAATTTCAATCCGCCGGGGATAAATTTAATGATCATTTCTCTCTTCTTATTTATTAAACCCAACTTAAATTGTAGTTTGAGCTTTTAATGAGACTGCACTGGATCAAAGCCATACTTAAAACATTGACTCCATTACAACTGCAGTCACAATTTATGCTCAGTTTCAAATGCGCTTTGAATCTCCGAATGATCTTATAAATTATCCAATTTCAATTAAAATGAGTCAAGCAAACTAATTTTTATTGTTCCATTGTGCAAATGATTTAAGAAACAAGCGAAACAGTATCTGAGCAAATAAATACAACCCAGAATCGTGTTGATTCGATAAGCAGATTTATTAGAAGTAAACTAATTCTTTAAAGGTTTTTATTTTCTTCTTTTCCATTATTGCAATTTCGAACCAATTCATTCCTCTAGCTGTCCGCTGATGTTTATGCCTTTTTAAGCGCCACTTTGTGCTTGTAACAATTTGTTGTTTTTTTTTTATTTTAATTTTTTTTCTTTTTTTAGTTCCTACCATATAATTTTATAGGAAGATTAAATACGTTACGGATCACCAAGTTTATATTGATAGTCAATTAAGTGTCCGCTGTTTCTAACAGCGAATAAATATAAAATGTTAAGAAAAAGTTAAATGAAAATACAAAATACTAAAGCAGCAAGATAAGTTTTTTTCTAATAGATACTCATACTACTTATTGCTTTTTTCACCAGCCACGTGAACCAGCATCTCAAGCTCGTACTATAAATTAAATCTCCATTGAAAGCGAAAATATTCATGAAAAGTAATCGTGATAGACCTGACCTAATGAACTATGCGGCAACGATACTCACTTATGAAGGTTGTAGAAAGAAAGAAATAGAAAAATAAATTCAAAGACCGGGCGTTACATTAATAATAGAAATAACAATAGCAATCCCGAAGATTTGTAGACTGACTAGTGACGAGAGAAACGGTTAGCAAGTTAACTAACTCCATCATTGCTCGAAGCTCCATCTATGGCTTAAATCCAATTTACGATACGAGAAAAAAAATCTGCTTAAATTATTCGAATACAAAATCAGAGAAAAAAATCTGGAAATTATTTAGTATGCAAAGATTTGAATAAGACAAAAGTTAATTAATGTTAACAGCTTGTTGACACGAAACTTGAGATATTTTTACAATTTAGACTTTCACAGTAACCAAGCACAAGTCAAATGGCGACATTATTGTGAGAAAGAAATATGAATTTATTTTAAAGCCTTTAAGTAATAAAGCAAAATGAATTTTAAATTTATCATAAACACAAAAGTGACATTTTGATTTGAGATATTAAATATTTTCTACTTAAGTTTGCGTCAATCTATTCCTTCGCTTAGATATGTAAATGCTTTTAATTTACTTTCGTTTTCTTTCGTGTTGATTAATGAGATGCAAATTCAATTATCTTTATTTTATTAATATCTAATGGATATTGAATTGACATGAATCATTATAAATTATTTTTTATGGCAAAATATTAAACCATAATCTGTCGAATGCTAATGTTTCGTTTTGAAATATTAAAAATTTTTAGATTAAATTTGAAACCACATGAGAAATGACTTAAGAAGTTTTATTCTTTATAGTCTTCCTTGTTTTTCCAATTGAAATGTGAATTTCAATCAAATATAAAACATAACGTGAACTTTTCCCCATAAGCGCTTATGAGATGCTTATGCAATTTATTGCATTTATATTTTCCTTCATCTACGTTTTATGTATAAGTTTTCTTTTTTTATAATTTTAAATTCTGGAATGTCGTCTTAAAAACGTTTGTTAAATTGAATTTATAATTTCGCTTTAATTTAAAAAAAAAATCAAGCTATTATGCTATCTGTTTCCACCATTATTGCGCTAAGCTTACAGCAGCAGCACATAAGTTCAAAAGAGTGATTTAATTGTGAACTTTATTCCGTAGCAAGCAATAATCTCACTAATATAATGATCTCCTAAACAATATTTTAATATCAGAGTAAATGCAAAATTAAACTAAATGACCCGATCAGCAAGTAAACTAAGCAAGATTTTTATTTTTATTCATAGTGCTTGCTTTCTACATGTTCTCATCTGACAACTCGACTTTGAGCATGAATGCAAAAATATTGTAGATAATTTTGCGCGCAGAAAAAAAGATCACTTCGAATGGAAATATCAAAATCGTGACCAATTCACACAGATTTCTCTTCGTTGTGACTTTTATGCAGTTGAACAAAATTTATCAATTAAGTTTTATTGCGATTGTCTCAAGATCCGTTAAAGCAGTAAAATTTTGCTGGCTGAGGTTGGAAGCCGAATTTTTAAATAAACCTGAGCTGCTGTCTAATAAAATAAAAATTAAGCAATTTTCTTCGGATCAGAAAAAATCAATATCTCAAACTTCATTTTAATTAACCATGCGCTCATAAAATTAGCCGCTCATTTAGTATGTGCCGTAAAGTTTGGTCTCTTTCTTCTTACATTTAAGTATAGAAAAAACAAGAAAAACACGATAATTCACAGATTGTAAAGCAATAAAACGAGAAGAAGCGATAAATCGCGTAGCGTGATAAATAATTCATTGAATATATGTAGCTTTAAAGCCAGTACAATAAGCAAGGAAAAAAGCTCAATAAGTACGAACGGTAGCGTTTTCGTGTATCTTTTTTCTGTTTTTGATGTATGCAATAAATTCAATCATCCACATTTACTAATTTACAAGGCACTCATTTTGCTTTTCTTTCTTTTTTATTACAGTCAACCGATATTGAATTTCGGCATGAACTGATGAATCGATTGAATAAACTCGACACGGAGGTTGAATTGGAGATTCTTCCAAATCAACACAACACATCACCAACGTCAGCTACTGTTTATGGTGGAAGCTACGATCATTATGGTCCGGTTAAAGAATATTATTGTGGAACAAAGCGAGACCTGTGCCCTGAAAATGAAGATCCGTTTCTTAGACCGCCACTATGGGAGGATATTACGAGTTCCATTCAAAACATTGATCCTGAAAATGCCATAATGTTAAGCGCTCTCACGGGAGCCACTCAAGTTAAATTAGAAACGTCGGATGATACTTTTCTGGAGTCACTTTCTTCACCTCTTCTTAGTCCGCTAGAAATTAAGACAGAAAAGGGTTATTACCAACAAAATCATAACAACAATATCATTCACATAAATTCGAGTCATTTAGGTCACAATAATAACGGAAACATCAACAACAACAATAATAATAATAATCATAGCAACAACAACAACTCGTACTCAGTACAATCACATTATCATCACAATAACAACAACAATAATAACAATAATAGTAATAATAATAATAATAACACTCAGTCGCATCATCCCAGTCAATTGAATGGCTATCACCAGGATTTCAATATTCATCATGGTCACATACCACCACATCAACAGTATTCGAATAATTATTACAATTGGCAACAAGGAACTCATCCATCAAGTCATCAGGCACCTGTTTACAGTAATAAATACTCGACACAAAGCAATTTATGTGCTCCAATTAGTCGGTTGATGTATGTGCCACCTCTTACGCCACCCAGTTCTGAAGGAACTCCTGGGAGTCCAGGAAACTCTGTTCAAGTAAGTTCTTTTTGTCATTGATAAATTGTTTGAGCTTCTTTTCATTTGTCATCCATTGGGGTTCATTTCTTTAGGGACCTATGCGAAGAACTCCACCCCCGCCTTATCATATTCAACAGCAACAGCAACATCATATGCAAAACATAAGCATTCATCCCGCAAATAATAATCAATCATCACCTCAACTATCATCTCATCATCAGCATCAGCCTTCAAATTCAAATCTTACTGTGCTGAACAATGGCAATTCCAACGATAACAACAATAACTTGAATAATGTTAAGAGTGAAAATACAAATAATAACAATAGGAGTAATAAAATAGTCATTAAGAAAACGTCAACGACTACAATTACCACCAATCATTCATCAATAATTTTAACCAGCTCGGGTGTGAAAACGATTGTTGGAAAGTACAATCGTAGAAATAATCCTGAGTTAGAGAAACGACGCATTCATCATTGCGATTTTATTGGTGAGTTAATGAATGTTTTTTCTTACATTTACTCAGATTTCATGATACTAATGAGTTTGGATCAATTGATTGTTGATATCGATCTTACAGTTCTTTTGTAATATCAACTCAAATTGATCATAATTATGATCATTCGTATGTTGATCACAAATTTCATTTATTTACGTTTCGCAATGTGGTTTAATGGTCGCGACATTAATTTCATTTAGATAATATCTCTTGGAGACATCGAATAAGTCGCTGGTAATTATCCAAATACTTTACGATCTATAAATGCTCAGATTTACAACAGAAATGTGTGTGATACAATGTCGCAAAACGAGCTGCTAAACTATGAGATTTTTATGTGCTTTAATGTGTTTTGTATAAGAATGCAGAAATGAAGAGAAGTAAATTGCATCAAAGTGACAATATCTTAATCTTACTTAAACTTTAACTTGTAATAAGTTGAATTGCTCTTTTCTTTTCTTTTTCTTCACAATTCACATTTAATAAGCAAAGCATTCATGTTAAGTTCTTCAATTTGAAAAGGTAACGCAATTAATCTTTTTCCTTCTTCTCAATAATATTATTTTTGCAACCGGATGAAATCAACAACAGAAATTCCTCAAACTGTCATAGTTGAGTGATAATTAAAGCTACTAAAATTAATCGTTCACTTCACTAGATGTCTGCCATTAGTTAACAAGCGAATGTCTCGTTTCGAACATTTTCCAACTTTAATTTGAACTTTTCTCACAGCAATCGTCTAATCATAAAAGTAAATATTTAAGAACTAAATGAAAGCACAAGAAAGGCAAGAGTAAAGACAAAGACAAAGAGAGTGAATTAAGCGCACATTTCAAAAGGAAATAACGCGTATGAGGCTTTTTGTGATGCGATGAAATAGGCAGCAATAAACGTAAAAACGTGCATAGATTTAAACAGACTGCTGTTGTTGAACTGTAAACGACTCAATATTTCACATGATAATATTCAATATTCACACATGCAGCACTTCCAACAGTCACTTGCTTCGTTCAAATATTGTAAAGATGAACTCTTTATGAATGAACTCAAATGAATGAAGTTGACGAGAGACTTTGATGAAATCAAAACACTGTTGGAAGCATCGGAATGACCTTACTTTTGTTTGAATTCTCTTCTTCTTTTTCATATTTGTGAGACCCAAAAGCGATCATTAATTTTCTGTCTTAAGCCTTTATGTGTCACGAAATCAAATGAAATTGATTTCTCTACTGAATCATATCAAAATATCAAAGCACAAACAATGAAAACATTTAAGTTTTGAGACTCGCTCGATTAGTCACAGTCAACATTAATTAAACTTAATTTAATCTCACAAGACTGTCCACGATAAATGCAACAAATTTGCAACTTGCTATTAGCAACACACAAAATATCAATCCAAAATTAGCCACGGGCTAAGCGATGTAGCGGCAATACATGATTAATTATTTCGAACATAATTTCGCTTTGTGAATTAACAGATTATTTCATTATGACTGTCTTAATAAAGACACGCGTATTCAAAAGTGCTTTTTCTCCTTTTTATGTTTCATGGCTTGTTACACTTTCGGCTTGTGTTTCTTTTGTCGAATTAACCAATTGCGCTCTTTAAGATTATTACCTTCTCTTTCATGTCTTGTCCTCCGTTGATCGACAACAAACGGTCGATGACAAACAACCTTACGATAATTTTAAATCAATTTACAGTCAATCAAACTCACTACGGTTAATTTTCGACCCTCCAATTAACGAGAAGAAAAGAAGCTTTATCTGAAATCTGAAATCTGAAGCTTCATTATATTTGTTCATTTCTACAATTTAATCATTACATTTTGTTCTTCTTTCTTATTAGGTTGTACCAAAGTATACACGAAGAGCTCACATCTAAAAGCGCATCAAAGAATTCATACCGGTGAGTAAATATGCTTCAAATAAGTCTGAATGAAATCTTAGATTATGTTGGGCGATTTATTGATCGTAAAACTGAAGGCCATGTTTCTCAATTCCTGAAACATCGGCAGCACTTCCCTTTTGTACTTTTTTTTTCGCTAACGTAATATTGATTTAGTCAATATAATCTCTGACAGGCTTTCAATCAAATTACTGTAAATTCAATAGAAAAGTCAGACACATTTATGTCTTGATGCATTATACAATATGGGTTCATGGATTGGATTGTTAAAAAATACTTCGATACAGTCAAACGTCAAAAGGAATGCGATTCAATCGGAGTTGTTTGTGAAGCGAATGACGGCGGTAGCGCATGAGATTTCAACCTTTCGTTATCGACAAAACAGTGGCGAATTCAGGTCATGCCGAGAACAATACAGTGACATAATTATGTCCATTGAGTGGCAAAAGCTGACCACTCACTTACCCGTACCGTGAAAAATCGTGCTTTAAAGACTCAACTTTTGACATTTCACTCAACTTCCTCGTCATATTCACTTTCAAAACTCATGTTAAATATCTAAATCAAAATTCGAACTAAATATTCAGGGAGTGAAACTTAAAGTCAACAATTTAATCAATGGTCGATTTGAAAAGCAAACATGCAGAATAATTAATTTATGTGCGATAAAGACTCACGATATTAATGGAAATATCCCCCATGAGTTTCTTTCATTCCAATTTCAAGCTGTTGTTCACTTGTGAACTTAAAACTGGATCATACAAATCAATCATGTTTCATGATCATTTTTTCATAAGTAATTTTCGTTTTTTCCTTCTATTAAAAAAATAATAATAAAACAAAATTTCTCAACATCTTAATCGCATTGTAAGTGTTTTCATGTCATGTAACTCATGCTTCTTTCAACAATCAAACAAAACTTTCGCCTATCAGAAATCTTTTTTCAAAGATCACACAAAATTTATTTCTGCAACTTGATTTTAATTATGCCTTTTCTTATGACTTCATTTAATTTTCATGTTGTAGAAAAGGTCTATAATTAGTCAGCATAGGCGCGTTTAATAATTAATAGTTGGAATTAATACAACTTGCTCGACTGTGATAAAAATCACTTTTACCTTATTGAACGCTTTCAGTACGAGCATGATAAGTCGAAACTCTTTGTAAAAATTCAAACGGAACATTAATTAGTATTCTGATAAAGTTTTACACATTCGATACAGATTGTAAACAGACATACATAACTTTATCTTTACATTACCTTTTTCACTTCGATTTGTGCAGTTAAATGAATGCATGATTGGAAATTGATTCAGTCTCGTTCGTTTCTTTCACCTTTCAAAGTGTTACTCTTATAATGAAGACATTTTTTTCTTTCTTTTCTTCACTAAACTAAACAAAAAAGTGTTTGAAAGTCACTTTTGGAAAATGATGCAGAAACTTTTTATTCTTTCCATTAATCATAAATACAACGCATGAAAGCTTTCAAATCGATGACGATTGCAAACACACTCTGCATCGTAATGAGTTGGAATAATTTACCTTAAAAGGGTTTTAAAAATGTTGATAAGTGAGAAAATTTCTTACACGCATTTTTTAGTCATCAGATTTGGAAGATCTTGTTTCCTATAAAGTTGAATGCAGGCAATCATTTCTTTCATTGACTCTCGCATGAATGTTTGGAATGTTGATAAGTATTTGAATATGATGGTTTAAATTGATACGGGTTGAAATGTTTTGACATCTATGAAGAGATTTGCATAACTTAACACCTCTCACAACTAATGGTAATTACCATTAACAGAAATCGACTTCACTAATTTGTTTTGACAATTATTCGTTTTTATAATCACCGAGAATCATCAAAATGCAAATCAGTTCTTCAGATCGAGTTCCTTAGGGAATTTAATTTCGATAATAAAATCTCACTTTGTATCGATAGAGAGAAGAAATGAAAATTCGTGACGGTTTTATCGCTTCTTCAAGCATATCATTAAAATACCTTTTCTTGTTAAAACGCAATCAAATCGAGAAATGGGAAATAAAGATCCGAAAATTTATGACATTTTCATTCATTTCTGTCTCCTACATTTCTTTCATGCCGTTGATATTGTGACCTTAAAAATATTGAAACTGTTGTCACAACAACTTTTTCATGAATGAAACGTCTTCAACTTATTTTATTCAGCTCGTGTGTGATCTCAATATATTATTTGTCTTCTTACACTTAAGAGTCCCCTTATCTTTACCCTCTTCTTTATACTTCTATTCTTCATAAAGTTTCTCTATGAATCTTCAACTTATTAAAGCCATCCATAAAGGAAGTTATAAAGATACTTAAGAAAATAAATTCAACCAACATTTTTATTTAAATGAGCGAAAAATATTATTTTTTAGTTGACTCTTTTCTCATTCTTTCTTACAATTCCTTTTTTTAAACTTTTTTGGACACCCATGGCGCTTTGTATCGAAAATTCATTAAGAAAAAAATAAGATGAAGAAGTAATTATGAATTATGGTCAGCAGCTTGTGGAAAGTGTGAAACAACAACTTCTGGAGATCAGAAGATGTTGCGATGAATCATCTTTAATTTATAAATAGATTTTTCGGTTAAATTTTATGATTGTTGTTGGCTCTAAAACTTCTTTTTTCTCTCTTTAATATCCAAAACCATCACGTGTTACTTTAATAGGCTAAATAAATAAATATTTACTGCAGGAAAAAAAATGCATGACAATAAAACAACAGTTGTACGAGTAATGATGCAATTTGTTAAGAGTATGAATGACATTCCTGTGGTTTAAAATTTTTTATGCAAATTTCAACAATTCTGCGTTATTGTTGAAAACAAAAAAAGGCTTTACTCAAAAGTTTGTGTCGTCTTTTATGTACATTTTTTAACGCAAACTAAATGTTTTCTTTTTTTATTTTATTTCTTTTTTGCTTCCTTAGGTGAAAAACCTTATTCATGTCAATGGCCGGAATGTGAGTGGAGATTTGCACGAAGCGATGAGCTGACACGTCATTACCGCAAGCATACTGGAGCCAAACCATTCAAATGTGCCATATGTGAGCGATCGTTTGCACGAAGTGATCATCTGGCGCTTCACATGAAACGTCACTTACCGAAAAATAAATAAAAACCTTAAGCAACTTCATGACATTGAAACTCAAAACCCATTGATGATTGTCTGTCTAATCATAAAGACGTTTTACGCATTCACTTAACGATGCCGCTTGTGTGCCCGAAATAAATTATAATAACGAAATAACTGTGTATTACTTTTAAATAATATTAATTGATGTTTATTTTATTCATTCTACGTTAATGAATACCAAATGAATCTAAATGAGATAGAATCAGAGAAATTTTTTGTAGAATTGAAAATAAAAACGCTGCCTCGGGAAACATTGAAGAAGGTAAAGTTTTAATAGATTACAAGCATCGAGTGTATGATAAAATCATGAAACCTACACTCACAAAATACCTACATTCAAACGAAATCAATCTTTCGAGTGAACATAATGGATTTATGATGCCTTCGAATGATTTCATGAGCAGATATTTTCCTTTTCAATCGCTTCAATTTTATTATTGACGTAAAATTTTTTGCTCATACGTAAGCAACTTTAAAGTTGGTGTTTAGGCTGCAAAATTAACTTACATACATCCTAGAATCACAATTAAACTTTTTTTTATTGATAAGTATCTAATCACCAAAGAAGAAATGTTCATTGCTGAAAAAAATAAAAATAAAAAAGTGATTTTTTAAAACTTATTCATGAAAGTTGATGTATAAAAATAAATGTTTGTACTTAGTAAGCAGTGTGATCATCAGAATAATTATGTATTTAGATGCTTCAATAGAATTATCACGCACAAGAAAAACATTCCAAAACTCACCCAAAATTTGATGATGTTACCATGTCAATGAATTAGTTTTTATGTACTTATTTTTCTCATAGTTTTTCTCGTAACAATTTTAAAATATATATAAAAATATGCTACATACATAAACGTGTTCTTATGTTGCCATGAATAAATCAACATTCTCCCATATCTGGAGACTTTTTATCATTTCCTTCAACAATGACAAAAAATATATAATTAATTTGATCTCTAAATACGATTCATGAATCTAAAAGTACAAAAAGTGACATAAAAAAAGACACAAACAAAAGTCTTTCTGCTTCTCTCTGTTTTATATCTTTTTGTTATAAATATCAAGGCAACCAATCATGGAAAATATTTACATATAAAAAAAGAAAAATATCCCAACACACGTACTTACTAGTTGAATGGAAATATTTATATTTCACTTTTCTTAATTGGAAAATGTTCCTTTCATTTATTTAAAAACTTCTTTTAACAAAAATTGTTTTAATTTCCTCCTAAACTTATTTAGATAGATAGTTGGCTAGCTGAAATTATTGGTAGAATTATTATTTTCATTACATTCACCAAGTGTTAAAATTGTGTAAGAAAAGCATCTTGATGTAGTTGTTTAAGCTCTCCTCAATTATTTAAAGGAATATCAGAAAAAAAACCTTTTTCAATTTCAAAATAGCTTTTAGCTTAGAGTATTACAATCAAATTGTGTTTTAGTTTGTTTTGATAATAATGGTTTAAAAGATAAAAATAAAGAAAAAAAATCTTGTTCAAATTTGAAAGTCATCATTTTTTATTATATGTGAAACTAAATATTTTTCAGGATATTTTATTGATATTGATTCACACATTCGTATGCAAATGACGTCTTGCATAACAAATTTATTAGACTAAATCAAATACTCTTAGCTCAGGGATGTGAAATACGAGCGAGAAATTGTAACGAAAGACTCTGTTGCAACATCCGAAAGACTGATGGCAAATAAATAATATTTTTTATGAATCTCTTTTAAAGACAAACAAACTTTGATAATTCACCTTGTAATTCAACACAAACGGAATAAATTTTCAGCCCTGGTTATAAATACTTTATCACATTTTAATGTAGATATTTAAATAACGCACAAAATATTAAATTTAATCTTTATTGATGGCTTTGATGATATATCTTTAAACATGAAGATTTTAGCGAAAATGGGAAAAGTTAGAAAAACAAAATAAATCAAAGGTCAACGTATCATTTAAAAATAAATAGAAACTATTTAATGTTCAAAGCGATATGCTCTGTCAATGATTTCAAATCGATAATCAGCGATTTTATTCATGAGCGTGATATTTATGAGTTACATCTCGAAATTCCATAAAAGTAATCAAATCACTTTGGTTTGGTTGCGCTTTAATTGTAAAGATTATGATTGAAAGGCTCTCATAAAATAAATCGATCCAGAAGTTGCGGGCCATAAAAATTTAATATCGATTTTTTTATTATTGAATTAAACAAATTAGTCCACAGATTGCTGATGGATTATGATTTTTATTACATTAGCAGCATGCCTTACAAACCACATTAAACACACAAAGAGATGAATAAATTAATTTCCAAAATATTTTCTAAAACTGTTTACATTAGACATCGAGAATTTAAATGTTGAATGATGAAAATAATGTTTGAACATTTGCTAAATGACGTAATTAAAGAAGATAAATTTACCTTTTAGATTTTATACAAAACAAATAAATTCCAAACAAAAATATATCAAACTCTCCCAATAAAACATCATTTGAGCATAGCTCCCCAAAGAAACTAACCAGACGTGTCAAAATAATCAATATTATCATAAATTTAAATAATTCAAAAGTGTTAAAAACAAATTTTTGATTCATGTTCATATTTTTTCTCGTGTTTATTTTTCGATGACTAAGCGATTTAAGAAAACCTATTTGAAAGTCTAATGAGAGAAGCAACTTGCTTCATTTGCATAAATCTCCGAGAAATGGTGCGCCGTGTTGTGTTGGTTTACAATCTTCAAAAAGTTATGAATGAATTTAGAAACTCATTCAGGTGGTTTGTGGACGAGCTTAACTTGAAATCAATGTATCTTTTTTTTTCAATCAAAAGGAACATCTTTTAGGTTTGAGTGATCAATACTTTGTGGATCTTTCCAAACTAGTCAATATGTACACACTTAAAGAGTGAACAGTGGGAGATATTTTTAATCTTGACTTAATTATCTTAAGATTTAACTAAACAAACGTACATTTGTAAAACGTTTTACTCATTTATTCAATGAGTTTTATTATTTGATTCATGCATGAACATCCGGATATTGTAACTAGTTGAGAAAATTCATTAAGTTATCAATTATAAGACGATGCAGGTCATTTTTGCAAGCTTTGTACATATCTGATCAACATCATTAGTCACATATTTAGCTTTGCAATATACATAAAAGAAAAATCCTTGAAATATCGATTTCTTGTTTTCAATTTGCAGACTTCATGACTTTTCTTTTCACAACAAATTTATTATGATCAGACATTATGGGATAATAAAATAAGATCTTTATTACAGTCTATAAATACTTACTTATTGACCGCATAATAACTGATGATATGTGACCATGTATTTTACATATCAATTAACTATCGCGGAGAAAATAACAGATTTAATAGATATGTTGCTTATTTATTTTCTTTATGAGTTCTTGCCTTCATGCCACGACTTGCGATCAACCCCTCATTGAGTTTATTTGTTCCAGTGCAAATTCATCGATATTTATTCATCATCCCACATTAAAAAAATTGTTGAAAAGATCACTCGACTTTATTGAAATAAAAATTCGTTTCGGTGAAAATGAATATTTTTGACTTTTTCAACAAATTCCATTGACGCATATGATTTACACACTAACTTGCATCGTTCACGCTTATCAATTTAATAATATAGATTTTAAAGCTTAAAATTACTAAATTATCGTGTGTATGTGAATTGAAAAGCTGAGAATAATAAAACAACTTAATCGCAACATATATGAAAGGAAGAAGAAAAAGAAAAGATTTCGCGTTGAGGTCTTAACATGCAATTATGGAAGAAAGAAACATCGCGATGTTATAAAACAATTCTCTTATCTTTGTGCATTATTTTATGCTCTCTTTGTGGGCGATTTGATTTTTTATTGTCTCATACATGTCTTGCCACAATAATGCCTTTGATTCTCAAACAAAGAGGAAATCAATTGCCTTTTGATAGCTCGATGTGCTTAATAAAAAAATCTTTATGTGTTTATTCTTCTCATAACTTTTCACATCACATCATTCTAAACGATGTTCTGGCCTGGTGTATGTTCTTCGGCACCAATGTGATGTTTCCATACGAAAGCAACACACGACTAATGTCAAGGGACTACTTTGGCGTGAGACAGGATACAATAAATGATATTGTCTGCGTTCGTTTATTTGCTTGCTTGCTTTATAGAGCGAAGATTGCACTGAAAATTGTAAACGAAAGAACACAATAAGACAACAATGAATAATGACGATAATTGCTGGTAATGCCATCGATGTCGCGCATCAGACACATACATATCAACATAATTTTTCTTAATAACAGCTGAAGAGTGTTCCAGGTAATATCTTTATTTACTCAATTCAACTAACCATAGCTTTTATGATAATCCGTTGGAATGAAACGCGGGCTGACTTTATAATGTGTAAATTATCAGTATGATTCATCACCACGAGTCGTGGCTCATTTTCCATAGTGTTGCATAAATTTCCTTCGTTTTAATTATTCAAATTGTTTCCACTAGAGAAACTTTAAATTTAATGCTGCAACTTTTATACTTTTATTTATTATGGCTTAGTATGAGACTAAGAGTAGGTTTTTAATTGCATTTTATTATAAATTATTTATAAAAAATGAAATTAGAAACTGTTTTAGTAAATCATGCCAAACGTTCCACTTCGCACATTTCTATGATCATGTTTACTAAATATTTTTGATATATCATTTTCATTTTATGTTAATTACCATCATATTCTTCATTTAGAGTTATGTTTTACACCGTTTCAAATATTTGTTAATAAAGATTTAAATTTGAAATAGTCAGGAATGTCTAACTAATGAAGAATGAATAAATAATTAAATAATTTTTTCACATAAAACCATAAAACATCAGGTGCAACATACTGTAGCATTTACTTCAATCCTTAGCATGAAAGATGAATTATTTATACAAACTTGTGACATTGAATTAAAAGCCATTAATTTTAGAATAAATATTTTTCTCACCATTTTATTGATCGGTAATATTAAAAATCAACTCCCTTGTTTGAGTATCATATCTCATTTGATATTTGTCGATAGCAATAAAATTCTTTGGATAGAAAAAAAAACCTGTATTTAAGCTTAAAGCTTGGCTTAAAGTGTTAAATAATACCGAATATAAAGTCAGAAGAGAAAAAAACTTGTTGACTCGACATTAAAACGCTGAACATTATCCGATAAAACACGAAAAAAAATTTCACGTTCAGGTATCGCTTAATCAATAATTTATTCGTCATAAAAACATATTTGGTGAATCTTACTGCCATACAGTGTAATAAAATAAACAACTCAAAGTTGGACCA